GGAAATTTGTGCTCGACGTTTGCTCATTAAAAGTTTCTTTCTTGATCAAAAATTTTTTAACTACTTAAAATTTCGCGGCACACCTACAGAGGCCTCCCGGCACACCACTGGTTGGGAAACACTGGCCTAAATGGTGTCTCTCTTGCCCGAGATCATACTCTGAAAGAAAGACAGTAGCCTACCTACTGTACCTGATTTGTGGGACACTCTTAAAGCCCGTACGGATTCTGGAGAACAGGACCTGACCATAAAATATTTTAATGGAATTCCCTAGATTGTTAGGCTACAAAAAAACTAATATCTTCCAACGACAAACATAATCTAAATTTATATTTTCAAAATGTCAATGGCCTCCGAACCAAACTTCACAAACTGGTACTGAATTGTGTCTAGACGTTCCTCGTGGACAACCTATTTCTACATATAGGCTAATGAGTATTGCTAGTAGGTGCAAGAAGTAGTATCTTCTTTGCTCTCTTCATCCTTACATCCTAAACATCCTTACATCATCTATCCTAACATCACCTCGTATGACTGCACTACACCTGTAGGTCCCGTCATTGATCGACCCAAGATGGAACTTCTTGAAAACCTCGCCGAACTCCATTCCTTGGACCAAATTAATCACATAAGGAACTTCAGACAAGTAACGTTGGATTTGATTTTTTGCAGTTTCAAATCGGTCTCCGTTCACGTTGCTATTGAGTACCTAGTTCAAGCTGTTCCCCATCATCCTCCTTTATCTTTCCCGCTGCCAGTTTCTCGGGGTTTACCTCATGCTAGATACTACACCTGCCCAAATCTTCGTAAGTGCAATCTGTATGCTGCTTTTGAAATGCTCGCAACAACGGACCTTTCCTTTAACCGCACGACTCAGTTGACGTCCATGAGGGTTTTGAAAGAATTATTGCAGTGCTTGGAGATATATTTGTGTTCAGTGCAGTCCCTTAAAACGAATTGGAACCCCGCATCCTTCCCCAAGTGGTTCTATGCGGAGCTCATCAATTTGGTTATTCAAAAGAAATTAGCCCACAAGCGCTACAAACAAACATTCCTTCCAGTGCACTATTCAAGGTTTTGCGAGTTGCGTAATGACTGCAGGAATCTGAGTCGCACATGTCATAGAAACTATTTGCGGCACATAGAAGATTCGATTCCTCACAACCCTAAAAGCTTCTGGAGCTTTGTTCGCTCGTCTGGTGGATCTCCTGTTATACTACCCATTATTAGTTTTAATGGAAACTCTTCCAATGATCCACAGGAGGGAGCTGAAATGTTCTCAGCTTTATTTTCATCGGTTATCCTCAAAGCCCTTAGTTTCACCACCTCCTTTTAACTTCAATGCCAACTCTACACCATCAATCATGCTTCTCTGTATTGGAAGTCTTAGAAGCCCTCAGAAAACTTGATGTCACGAAAGGCGCTGGACCAGACAATGTACCTCCGTCTTTCCTTCAACACTGCAGTGACACTTTGGCCCAACCTCTGACTGTGTTATTCAACTTTTACGTTCAACAAGGAGTATTTCCTGAGACTCTCAAGACGGGGCCACATTGTTCCGATTCTCAAAGGAGGCAATCCATCGAAAGTCGAGAACTATCGACCTACAGTATTACCATTCATCAGTAGAGGAGGTGTTTGAAATGTTAGTGTTGTCTCGCCTTAAACCCTTTCCAAAACCACTAATAAGTCCCAGTCAACATGGTTTTACCTTCTCCAGATCAACCGTCACCAAACTGCTGAATAAGAATAGGAAAGCACATTATCTGCTATGGGATCCTGTAGACAGCTTGTTGTTGCCTTTATCGATTAATAGGCCCTCCTTGAAACTGGGGATTTATTGTATATTAGGAAAGCTTGGATGGTAGCTATTTGTTTAGTAATGAAAGCAGAATAAATCAAATTTTCAGTTTGAAACTAGGCCCTATGCCAAAAGAATAAAAAACAATGTTTTCCTAAATTCGAACGCATTGTAATACCAATGAAACTGATACAAGTATTCAAGTAAGTAAGTATTTTAAAATCGCAACTACACAAAATAAAAATAAAAAAAACCATAGCTGTTTACATAGCCTAAATAATATTACTCGCGAACTACAGAATATTATTCCAACATTTTAAACAGAGATTATTAGAGTGTTAATAATAACGGAAAGAATATCCCTAGATTACAACCACGATTAAAGATCAGGACACCCATACGATTTTTATATCTAAATAGTCAGTACCTACCTCTAAATACATTTTAATTTCAATAATTGTATGTACCATGTAATTACCGGTAAGTTTTTAGTTACAATTAGCCTATCCAAAAATCACCATCCTAAATTCATCTGTCATTATCCACTGGATCCACTCCGGATTTGGTCTTGACCAACAATAAGCCCGGCTTTCACATCATTAGACTCTGACTCGTGAACCCATTTTTTGGTTGTAGCTTATATAGGCCTAGCCTAGTCCAGGACCAACTTCTGGTCGCGGACTATGAAGTCCCGAGCTCGTGAACCTAATCGAGTTTGTGAAGCTTAATGTGCGGAGCTAAACTCTGCAAGCTCCCCCTCAAAGGTTGACAATAGGCCTATACCTACATCTAAATAAGACACCATCTCTTTGTTTTAAATACAAATTTGTTTTCCTCCACCTCTTCACTTTGCGACTACCCTAGCCATTAACAGTTTTAAACAATAGGCCTAACAATGAAGATGTTTGCAAATTGTTTCTAACTTACGTAAGAGCATAAATTGAAACAAACATTACCATAACATAACTATTAGGCCTAACCTAGGCTTACTGTTTAATTTTATAACTTATCAACAGCTAACTTAAGTCAGGGCATTCAATAATCTTCCTTCACATTATAAGTAGGCCTAAATCTTAAGTAAGTTTTGTGTATTCATCTGCATTCTTTAGCAGTGACAGTTCTAGGACCTTGTCAAGGAAGGGGGCTAACGGGTGTGTTCACACCAGGAGGGGAGTTTGAGGTTCCTCCCACGCAAATTTATTTATTTATTTATCATTTCAACGGCTGACGCCAATACATAAATGATTGATAGAGATACAATATAAAGGAACTAACGAGATGCAAATGTGATACAATTCAGAACAGTAACAAGCTACGAGAAAACAATAAATACAACAATAAATAGCAACAATAAATAAGTTTACAAACATGCAAACTTCACAATAATGATCTACTAAATTAGAACCTAGGTCGAATGTAAAATTTGTTCTGTAAGTTACATGTAGCCTAATCTGCTCAACTCATTAAAAAAGTTTATGTAAGTTTAAGTTATGGTTTTCCAGTTCAATAAAGCTTATGCCTAAGTATTAACTTAACTTAATACAATTTTTTACTTGGGTAAGTTGCAAGCACTGTAAGCACGTGAATTAATCAAAATATCAGGCTTTTTAGAAATGTGTTATTCGTGTAACAAAACTGTACAATGGGACGACCATGGCTGAGGGGCCGGCACACAGTACCTAGTGCACTTAAGTTACTGATAGGCAATTGATATAACTTAAGTTACACCGATGCACGGGTAACTAGGCCTACTGCATTTTTTGTTTCAGTAGAGGTTATGTTTTCTTTTGGCTGTCAGTCAGTCACTGGATGTTTACGTCAAGATTAACAGTGATTAAAAAAAAATAATTCTCATGAGTGAAAACATATAACTTAGCCTAAGTTATAAGGGAATTTATCAGCTAAAATTTTTAAGCCTGGACTTGGATATTGTAGGGTTAAAACCAGTCAAATCATGAAAATATGGGTGCCAGAATCGCTCAGCCCAGGGGTCCGGTAAGGCTCTCGCTGGCCCTGCGATGGGGCATTCTCTATGAGAGCATTAACTAGGCCTAATAACTTAGGGTCTATAGGCCTAGGCCTAAGTTATTGGTCTGATGACAGCTTGAGTTTAATAATTGTTAAAATTTAACTTATATGTTCTTAAGTTAAGAATAATAAGTTAGCCTTCCTCATTTTAGGTAGGTAGGTACGGTAAGTTTACTCAGAGCTACTTAAAAATGAGCTAAGCTTAAACTTACATTCATCTTACCGGTAACTCATTGTGTAGGCCTAAGTTTACGCTTAAATAAGTTTTAGGGGATTTCTCTAGCAAAAAAGTTTTCATGAGGGGTACAATTCCATATCTGTTGGCACAAACAACCGAATGAGTAATATACATTACTCGATTGTTTAATTCGATATATATCGTTTGGTTAGTTAGGTTAGGTAACCTTACCAGATGATATATCGATCAATATTTTCATTCGGTTGTTTGTGCCAACAGATATGGAAGTGTAACCTTCATGAGATGTAAACAAAAATGTAACCTAGACTAAAGGCTATTGTAACTTAACTCAAAATGAGCCCTAGACTTGATAACTTAAGTTAGAATCAGTAAGTTAATAAAGTTAAGCCATTACTTATTAAGTTAGGTAACTTACTTAACTAACTTAGGTACTTATATTACTTAAGTTACCTTAGCCTAGGCCTATTTACTTTAATTCCAAGAAAGGATGATGAAGGTTTAATCTGGACTAAGTAAGTTATGCTTTATGTGTGAGTGTGGTTATGAGGCCAGTGTTTACAAACATAAAACTTATAAGTTTAAGGTTATGACTGTTTAGTTAATTTCTATAATAACTTAGTTTGACCGTTTCGTGTATGACTTAACATTTAGTAGTTAAATAGGCTAATTCCACGGTATGCATGTGCCAACCAAACAACCGTATTTTTTACCAAGGATGGTTCAAGTTTGTTGTACTTTACTTTTTCACATGAATAATGAATGAATGGTGTTCAATTTTATAAATAAATCATTAATGGCAAGTTACATGGATAAGAAGTTATGCGTAGGTAAATTGTCAACTTAAAATCTAGAATCCATTGTACAATAATAAGCCTCTCCCGATTCCAATGGTGTGACACCAAATCGTCATTTGGATCTGAACGGAATGTTAAGGTATTTGTTAATTTGTTAGAATAAAAACAATAATATTACCTGTCTTGTGGTATCCAGATTATTCCAAATGGTTGGCAGGCTTATGTCACGCACTAAAACACGATTCGCATTAATATAACGATATCGTATCACATTCAATTATAACCGAATAGAACCTAATAAACGAGAAAAACCTCATCTGGAAGATGGCGGCCGCCCGCCAGTTGCTGATACTGCCTATCCTTTTCTCGCATTGCCACATAAAAAGAATAATAACTGTATTCTTAACCGATTTAGAATTAAAAAGCAACCACTAATCCATTGGGTAATAATCTGTTAGCATTTAAAAATGTTCAAATAGTAAAAATACCCGTCACTAACTTCCTAAAAACTGTAACTCCAACCACAGCGCAAAACTGCTCCAAATTGTTTTGCACAGGTGACATACTGACGTCATGTCGTCATGACATCTTCGGCTAATGTCGGGTGATCCCGCGTTTAATTCCGACAAGGTGCATCTAAAAGCTGTCCTCAACAAACAGACCAATGGAAAAACAGTATGTTTGATTAATCTATGAAAAAAGTTTCGCGCTCAAACAAATAAAACCATTACACAGTACCATCACCGTTTTAAAAAGCTGGTCTGGAATCCATTCGTCGATTACTGATTGCGATACAACCAATACCAATTAAATTGTATAATCACGAAATCTCAGGATTTAATTAAAATGTGATTTTAATAGCTTTTCAAGGTCACGGACTTAAAAAGCATAACCAGCGAGCGGTGTCAAGAAAAGCAAATAATACGTTTCTTTTTTAATTGGCAAACTTTTAAATGATTACCGCAAACAAGTTTTTTGTAAAAAAAAACCCTTTTTACTATGTAGGTTATAAATATGTACTCGCCTTTGGCTCGCTGGGGGCTCCGCCCCCAGGCCCCCTTTTTTGGTTGGGGATAAAAAGAAATGGGCCATGGCGCAAGACCTGCAATTGAGCCAAATTTCAGATCTTTAGCTAATCTAGAAGTGGGTAAAATTGATTTATACCGATGCACCTGTAGGAATAACATTGGGGGGATTCTAATTTTCGTGGGGGGGGGGGAGTTATATTTGTAAAATGTCAATTTTGAAAAGGGCGCAAGATCAACAATCATGCCAAATTTCAGATATCCAGTTAATCTAGAAATGGGTAAACGTGATTTAGACTTATGCACCTGTAAGAATAACATTAGGGGGGGGGGAGGATTCAATATTTGGGTGGGGGGTTGAAAATACGACGCCCCCAGGTCCCCTTTTTTGGTTGGGGGTAAATACAAATGGGCCATGGCGCAAGACCTACAATTGAGCCAAATTTCACATCTTTAGCTAATCTAGAATTGGTTAAAATTGATTTAGACCGATGCACCTGTAGGAATAATATTGGGGGGCCCCAAATTTTGACATTAAACCTAAGTTTTGGGGGTCAAGGAGTAAAGTTACGAAAAAACACGTAGTGTTTAAAATTTAAAGTTAAGTAAGGAAAATACAAAGCAATATTAATTTTTGCAAAAACAAATTATTTAAGTATGAAAAATGGCGAAAACCGGTAAAAATTTAAAGAAATTTACCAAATTTTGAAAGTAGGGCGTTTTTTGAAGGTTAAGGAGTGCGATTTTCGGGAAACACCTATTAAAGGTTTGTAGAAAATTTGATTCCCGTTCATGAAAATCCTTTCAAATATTTTCTATCTCTTACTGTTTTCGAGCTATAGGCGATTGAAAAAAAATGGGTTTTGTCGTTTTTAGAGGTCCGCCAGTTTGGATTTTTAAGGTGGGTAAAATTTAAAAATGGGACTTTTGCAAAATTTGCCATAAACTTATGATCCCTTACTACAATAGTACCAAATTCCAAGTCTCTAGCACGTTTCTAAACGATTCATATGACCATACCAAAGTCATTATATTTTAATCTTATTCTCCATAAGAATAACATGGGGCTCGTAAAAGTGGTAAAAAAACCTTCAAATTTTGAAATTAAACCTAAGTTTTGGGAGTTAAGGAGTAAAGATACGAAAAATTATTAAAGGAGTAGAATTTAAAGTAAGGAGAATACAAGAACCAATGAGAATACAAAGCAATAATAATATTCGCGAAAAGTAATTATTTAAGTATGAAAAAATAGCGAAAACCGGTAAAAATTGGAAAGAAATTTATCAAATTTTTAAGGTATGGCGTTTTTTGAAGCTGAAGGAGTGCGATTTTTGGAAAACGCAAGTTAGGGTTTTGTAGAAAATTTAATTTCCTTTCGCTAAGATTCTTTCAAATCCTTTCTATCTCTTACTGTTTTCGAGCTACATCCGATTAAAAAAACTAGTTTTTTCGTTTTCAGAGGTCCGCCATTTTGGATGTTTGGGGGGGTTAATATTAGAAAATGGGACTTTTGGGAATTTCACCGGTAATGTAAGATCCCATACTACAATACTACCAAGTTTCAAGTCTCTAGCACGTTTCTAATTGGTTCAGATGAGCATACTAAAGTCGGCATTTTTCAATGTTATTCTCCATAAGAATAACATGGGGCTCGTAAAAGTGGTAAAAAACCTTCAAATGTTGACATTAAACCTAAGTTTTGGGGGTTAAGGAGTAAAGTTACGAAAAAAGACGTATTGTTTAAAATTTAAACTAAAGTAAGGAGAATACAAGGCAATAATAATATTTGCAAAAAGGAATGATTTAAGTATGAAAAAATAGCGAAAACCGGTAAAAAGTTGAAAGAAATTTACCAAATTTAGAAAGTAGGGAGTTTTTTGAACCCGAAAGAGTGCGATTTTCGGAAAACATTTTAAAAGGTTTTGTAGAAAATTTAATTCCTGTTCCTGGATATACTTTCAAATCTTTTCTAGCTCTTACTGTTTTCGAGCTAAATCCGTTTGAAAAAAACGTGTTTTATCGTTTTCAGAGGTCCGCCATTTTGGATTTTTGGGGGGGTTAAAATTTGAAAATGGGACTTTTGAAATTTTCACCATTACCTTATGATCCCTTACTACAATACTACCAAATTACAAGTCTCTAGCACATTTCTAAACGATTCATATGACCATACCAAAGTCATTATATTTCAATCTTATTCTCCATAAGAATAACACGGGGCTCGTAAAAGTGGCAAAAAACCTTCAAATTTTGAGATTAAAATTAAGTTTTGGGGGTCAAGGAGTAAAGTTACGAAAAAACATGTGGCAAGTAAAATTTAAAGTAAAGTAAGGAGAATACAAAGCAATACTAGTTTTTGAAAAAAAAAATTATTTAAGTAAGAAAACATGGCGAAAACCGGTAAAAATGTAATAAAAATTTACCAAATTTTGAAAGTAGGGCGTTTTTGAAGCTGAAGGAGTGCGATTTTCGGAAAACGCCTAAGAGGGTTTTGTAGAAAATTTAATTCCTGTTCCTGAATATACTTTCAAATCTTTTCTAGCTCTTACCGTTTTCGAGCTACATCCGGTTGAAAAAAAGTGTTTTTTTCTTTTTCAGAGGTCCGCCATTTTGGATTTTTGAGGGGGTTAAAATTTGAAAATGGGACTTTTGCAAATTCCACCGGTAATATAAGATCTCATACTACAATACTACGCAAATTTGAAGTCTCTAGCACGTTTCTAAGCGGTTCATATGAGAGTACCAAATTCGGTATTTTTTAATGTTATTTCCCATAAGGATAACATGGGGGGGGAATTCGAAATTTCGGGGGGGTTAAAATTTGAAAATGCGACTTTTCGGATTTTTCCCGGGGGTTTAGTCACTAGACCTACGACCACCGAAAATTTCAAGTCTCTAGCTCATCTAGAAGTGGTCTAGAATTTGTATCCCTTAGTTACATATGCGGGATTATAGTATTTAGATTGGCAAACTTTTAAATGATTAGGTACCGCAAACATGATTTTTGTAAAAAACACTATTTACTAAGGGAGTGTCTAAAACGCTGACAGACTGACTGACAATGTTATAACTCCATAAGACACATAAACGATGCCACAGGTTGCCACAAACGACCTACACCATTGAAATTTGAAATATGTGTTGGGAATACAATTATTTATAAGGTGTATGCATTTTAATAGGATATATTAATCGGAAGTTCTTAAAAATTTATTTAAGAACTATTAATGAAAAGAGTGCCACAGGTTGCCACAAACGACTTACAGTAGGTATTGAAATTCAAAACATGTGTTAAGAGGGTACATATTTATCTCCTATATAAATCTAAACAGTGTATCTTGGCCGGAAGTTCTTAAAAACGCACCTAAGAACTATTTATAAAAAGAGTGCCACAGACTGCCACAAACGCCTTACAGTATTGAAATTCAAAACCTGTGTTAGGAGAGTACATATTTATCTTCTGTATAAGTCTGAAAAGTGTATCTTAACCGGGAGTTCTTAAAAACGAACCTAAGAACTATTCATAAAAAGAGTGCCACATGTTGCCACAAATTACCTACGGTATTAAAATTTGAAATATGTGTTAGGAGTACAAATATATAAAATGTGTATTAATTTCAATAGAGTATCGTAACCGGAAGTTCTTAAAAACGAACCTAAGAAGTATTCATAAAACGAGTGCCACAGGTTGCCACAAATGACCTACGGTATTGAAATTTGAAATATGTGTTATGAGTCCAAATATTTATAATGTGTATCAATGTCAATAGGGTATCTTAACCGGAAGTTCTTAAAAATGAACCTAAGAAGTATTCATAAAACGAGTGCCACAGGTTGCCACAAATGACCTACAGTATTGAAATTTGAAATATGTGTTAGGACAACAATTATTTATAATGTGTATGAATTTCAATAGCGTATCTTAAGAGGAAGTTCTTAAAAACAAACCTAAGTTTATTAATAAAAAGAGTGCCACAGGTTGCCACAAACGACCTACACCATTGAAATTTGAAATATGTGTTGGGAATACAATTATTTATAAGGTGTATGAATTTCAATAGGATATATTAATCGGAAGTTCTTAAAAATTTATTTAAGAACTATTAATGAAAAGAGTGCCACATGTTGTCACAAACGACTTACAGTTTTGAAATTCAAAACATGTGTTAAAAGGGTACATATTTATCTCCTATATAAATCTAAACAGTGTATCTTGGCCGGAAGTTCTTAAAAACGCACCTAAGAACTATTTATAAAAAGAGTGCCTCAGACTGCCACAAACGCCTTACAGTATTGAAATTCAATACTGCGTTTTTAAGAACTTCCGGTTAATGTACACTGTTCAAATTCATGTAGAAGATAAATATGTACCCCCCTAACACATGTTTTAAATTTCAATACTGTAAGTGGTTTGTGGTAGTCTGTGGCACTCTTTTTATAAATAGTTCTTAGGTTCGTTTTTAAGAACTTCCGGTTAAGATACAATGTTCAGATTTTTATAGAAGATAAATATTTTCTCTCCCAACACATATTTTAAATTTCAATACTGTAGGTCGTTTGTGGCAACCTGTGGCACTCTTTTTATAAATAATCTTAAATTCATTTTTAAGAACTTCTGGTTAATATATAGTATTGATATGCCTATACAGAAGATCAATATCTCCACCCATTACACATATTTCAAATTTCAATAGTGTACGTCGTTTGTGGCACTCTGTGGCATCGTTTATGTGTCTTATGGAGTAATACCATTGTCAGTCAGTCTGTCAGCGTTTTAGGCAGTCCCATTTACTAAACAGAAAATGTGTCATCCTGTAAAACAGTTTTTCGTAATTACCGTATTTGTATGGATATCTTTGCAGCTTGGATGATTTAAATATAGTTGGAATGGATTAACATTGGTAGATATTCGATATATGTTGATTCGTGGTATACCTATATTCCAAGTACAGAAACCACTGTCCTCCACTACACTCATCTCCATCCATACTTGGCTAAAATACCTAACCTACCTTTGTATAACAAAAGGTTAAATACCTGTAGTACTGTCTGTGATCCTGGTTTAGGTCAGTGACCCAAGTTTCAAACTTAAAGGTTCATTTTTTAGGTTCGAAACCTGGGTCGCTGACCTAAACCAGGATCTCAGACAGTAGGCCTACTACAGGTGAAATATTAGTACCGGTAGTAGGCCTTTTATTAGTAAAATACATGATCCAGAGGCTAAACATGCTACCTTTGTATGGTCGCCATTCCAGAATAAAGTATTAAAGTACAACTGTAGTACATAACAAACGCTGCATTTAAATGATCAGCATCAAGGACTAATAAGAAATCCATTTAAAACCCCCAAAAATAGCTTGAAAATTTTTGCTGTCTAGGGGTTTAAATGGGTGGTTTCCCTGGCACTTATATCTTGTTGCCTCCCAGTACAGAGTAGGCTATTACACTTTTTGTGATTTCTATATATAATTGGTTAATTATAATTAAATAAATTATTATGATGTTTCCTCCCTCTTCTCTATCAGAATAGAAATAACTACACTCACCTAACCATCACCCCAATACTTACATTTGCACAAGTGACAAAAAAATTTTGATTTTCTCAAACATTAGAATGTTGGCGGATGTTGATTGCAGCTTAAAGTTACCTATCTGATGAAAACTGGGCAGTCCTAAAAAGTTAATGCTAATGGGTGTTGCCCAACTAACTGTTCTTAGACTTTTTGGTGCAAAGGACCCACAAAAATGTGAGAAGTTAAGGCAGTCTGCCCACACAAAAACCAATCTGCTAGATTAAGCACATCCTGTACTTTAACATGAGACAATCTTAAAGATTTATACCACAGCGCGAGTCGGATCATAGTAGTTTTTTGGTTATTGTTGTGATAAATAATCTTCACAAATTATATACAAAATTCTCTGTGATTAAATAAACAGCTGGTTGATGAGGGACAAACATTAGCATCATCAGATTATACCACTAGAAAAATACCGGTATGGATCATAAACATATACAAATGACGTTTTTGGCCCGAAAATAAACATTATTTGACACTGCTTAAATGGAACTGCCAAAACATATGTTCAATGCTATTAGTATAGGATTCGGGCCAACAACGTCATTTGTTTATGTTTATGATCCATACCGGTATTTTTCTAGTAATCGTGGATTATACCTTAAGAGTTCTTCTATCTAGGCCTACAAGCATTGCACAGGTGTTAAAAACCCAAGTGTATTTTTAAACCAAAGAGATTGAAAATACCATAAAGTACACTAGACAAATGATAAAACCTTGTTCTTACACTTTAACAAGAAACACTAGAATTTGACATATTATCTGTGAAACACACTGAAAGGTAAAGAGAGTCATTTAACTAAAGTAAAGCCAAGCAACTTTAGAGAAACACTTCGGATAAACAACAAATCAGTACTGTTTTGGAGAATCTTTTTATTTTTAACGATATGGTTTTTTTAAACAGTTGAAATAAAATCAACACCATGATTAATAACAAAGTATCTTTCTGTAAATAAATAGTTCATTAGAGTGTAAAAACTAAATATGATTCCATTAACAATTTAAAGATTAAAATTAAATAAACCAAAATTGTATAAAAGTTTGAACACAATAACAGTACTCATTTAAATAACCTAATTAAAACATTAATACAGAGACTGGGCCCACATTTCAATATCTGTATTAAAAAGCATTTTTTACACAAATCAGTACTAAACAGAAAGTTTTCACATTGTGCAGTACAGAAGTTAAATAGATTAAAATATGTTTGAATGAACTATTATTCTAACATATACAACATGATTGAAACGAACCTTAAAACTGTTATCAAGGATTTAACAAAATGAACTTCTTTGATGGTCCCAGGCTTAGGTGTTACCTTGTGGGTCATACTGATAGCATATTTTCCCACGTATAATTCGTACAGAAGAACAACAGATTCAGATATAAACTCAAAACAAAATAAATCTTCTTCATTGCTAGCTAGCTTTATTGTCAGTAAATAGATATTACAGTATCTCCTTTCACATCATAAAAACTTAAACATACATGTAGAATTAAGTAGGTAGGTAATCAAAATCACAATTTTATATAGATGAGCCTTTGGAAAAAGTTATAAATAAATAATCCAACATTAGAACTCTAACTATCTTGTCCTGGTATGTACCCCAGTCACAATTATACGAAAAGATAGTCAGAATTCTACTGCATTTAAAATTATGTCAAGATCAGGCTGATCCAATTGTTCTGACTGTCTAAGGATACATGATACTAATGGCTTGATAAACCAAAAGTAACATTTTATTCATGTTGAAGCCTTCCGGAATTGGTAATCAATTATAACAGGTTACGTGCCTTGATGTCCACATTCCTGTCAAAATTCTGTTGACTAGTTTCGACTCAAGTGACGTGCGCCAGCTGGCCAAATGTGTTAAATGTCTACCGTGTTCGTGTTGTGTTTGTGTTCAATGTATTTAAGAAGATTTGACGACATTCAATGAATGAAATATTTTAACGTTCTGTTTCGACTACTCAATAGTTGAAACTAGTCAACATAAGTTCGACAGAGGAATTGTGGACGTCAAGGTACGTAACCTGTTACAAAAGTATCATTTGTCTAACAACAATAGAACAATACCTAAACAAGAGGAATACCACTGAGCTAGAAATACAACTGGAGGTAAAGGACAGCAACCAGGTAATATATAGTTAACTGGAGGTAGCACTGGCTTGTCACCAATAAATTTTTATTTACAAACAGCAGACAATCTATAAAGAGTAGACGTATATCCTTTAAGCATTTTCCAAAGTTAAAACAAAGTCAACATAAAAATTACTGTATCAGGTTTACGAACAAAAGTGCAGAACCAGCCTGTCTTTATATATAACTAAAATATATGTACAAACTATAAACAAATATCACAAAGTATAAAAATGATTACAAGCAATGGTACATGAAATACTAGACATAATATACACAAATAAATATTTTGTTTTCTCTTAATTGTTATAGCATTATTTGCATAAGATAAAATATTATAATTAATTTAATGAGTATACTGGAAATTTATGATAAAAATAATATTAATACTTTTAAGCACCACAGGCTGACGCTTAGGTTTAGTCGTAGTTGAGAGTAACGGTAATTTTTAAGGACTATACGAGTGAACCACTCCTAAAAATACAGCCTCGTAGACAAATAAAACCTAAACCGTTTGCCTGTGACACTCAAATGGTACTAACAGAGCAAGAACATCCAGTAACACTTATTCTCTGAAGCGTTTAGTGCAACATTTTTCATCCATAAAGGTTGATGGTTAATTTATGATTAGTATTGCACATTTTTATCCCAGCTTTGAACAAATTGTTTTGTAAGCTTAATAAAATCACCTAAAACACTGATATAGGTACTTAAATAATTTGGTCAACATTTAACTTGATATGCATTATAAATTTAAATAACAAGGCGGAATAGTTTCAAGACCATCAAACAACATAAAAACTTTCCTCCGCTAAAAATAAAACAGTGTTTTTTATATGATTATGAAACACGTAAATAGGTTTTTAGAAATGATGTAACACAATATTAATAAATTATGATGAATTATTTGACTGAACAAACCAATAACAAAACCTTTGTAAACATCAGAATGAAGAAATGATGAGTGCTGCGGTGAAAAAATTTAACATAGATCACATTTACATCTCAAAATAAAATGTTAAATGTGATATTACTAAATAAAGAGAGTATTTCCTTTCAAGAAGTTGTATATACTACAGAGAACCAATTGATTACTAACTATGACAGTCACACCGTTCTTTAGTCAAATGTAACATTAATTGTAGCTGGTTCACATTTGTACACAAGAGGTCCTGTAACAAACATTAGTATTTACACAAACAAATACAGTAGAAATTATATTACATATATGATTATCTAGGAACACCAACTTCTACACATGTAACAGTGCTTGATTACGCAGCTACACTTCGTAGACTTGACCCGCAGCAGGCTCAACTTCCGCAGCAGGTTCCGCAACTTCTGCTCCTGGCGTTGTTGTCAGATTGCTCCACCAACTGCTCAACGCACCCTTTGCTTGCGATATTGCTCCTCCTGTTGGGTGAAGTACTACGTTAGATTGCAAATAAAGACCATTTATTTACACAATTGTAGCACGTACCCTAATAGTGAGGGCTTACATACGACTTCTATGACTTATTGGTTGAACAGAAAAGACATTTTTAGCGAATTTTCCATATAGGGAATAAGCTATTACCGAAGGTCTCATGGTAAGACCTATAGACCTGAGACCGATTTACTTTTTCGTTTTGAGGTCCCCAAAGGCCAAAAACACCATCCATTCAAATTCATATATATATATATATATAGATAAGGTGTGTCCGTTAGCGCGATAACTCGAGCAAAACGGATCCGATTTCGATGAAATTTTGTACAAACAGGAAGATTAAAACTTGTATTCCATTCTTTTAAAACATGTCTCCATTTACATATTAATAGCCAGTTAATTAGTAATATAATCAGCCTTTTACCAATACAATATTAATTTACATCTTCATCATCAAGAAAAACTAAATATGCTAAAACTTAAGTCTATGGATCCGCACATAGACAAAGAATTCTACACATCCCTTTTGGACAAGGAAAAGTTGGTGTGCGGGTGTTCATGATTATAAAAGTGGGTACTCAATCAAAAATGCCTATAAAATTACATATCAGAGCAACCGGCAATAATGTTCCTACTCATACTTGGACAGTAAGTCACAGTTGTGATATAGTCAGTGCTCGATTTGTGGGGGAACGCGGTGGAACAAAGTTCCGGTACCTCTCTTTCGGAAAGATAAAAATATTGGTTTAAACAGGTACATAAATAGGTATTAATCCCATTAAATAGGTTACAGTTCAGGCCCCTTATCTTTTACAAATCGAGCACTGGATATAGATGAAATAAAGGTAGTAATGTAGGGTTCACTATCAAAACTAATCTCGGTTTGGTTTAAACTATGATAAAAAAACTCAAACCAATTATTGGAAAATTTGCTAGGCATCAGGAATCTTCCACCTTGATAAGAGTAGTTGGCCTGGGTTGGCCAAAGGAATGTAACTGAGCAAATTACAACACAGATCTCATACTTCGGTAAAGATAAAGTTCAGAAAACAATTTTGATCATTTTAAGAAATAGATTTTGTGTATACAGTTCTAGACTATTTGCTTTATGAGGAGTTTTCTGTAGAATGAGACTCAAATAAACAAAACAAATACATAAATGCAAAAGTAAAGCGCTGAGACTTGGACTTACCCACTGCCCGACCAGTGGTGACAACTGCTTTGCCTGTAGATACCATGGCTTGGTTCAGCTTGCGACCTCCCTCAGTGTTCTGCATGGTGCTGTCAAAACACATGTGGAAATTAAGTTCAGTATAACAGATAGAGAGATAGAGAAGGATAAGATGAGAGGTGATGAAAGACAGCTGAACATTGATGAGTCGGTGGCTCAGTTGGTAACACGACAGACTGTGTAATGATGGGAGCGATATCTTGGGGTTGCATCCTGGCAAAGAGAAGTAAGTTACAGAGGAAACATTCAATGGTAATTCAAGTGGTGTCTAGCACTATAGTTCTTTCACAAAATGTTGGCGGTTTGAGGGAAAGTTCCTCAACTCATTTTTCTTCTTGATGTATACGTTGCAGCCGATAGAAGTTTTGGCAAACCTCAGCTGTTAAGCTATTGTTTTAAAGGTAGGATCAAGAGGAAGGGATGGATTTCTTCCTCTAAAACCGACACTTAGCTAAAACACATGGTAGTCTCATAAGCAATTTTCTTCTATATCTTTCATTGTGGTTCTGGTAAGCAACATTAACATTTATCAGTGTAATATTTCTTGTACTTAACCAGCTCAACCCTTACTTTGCTTGATAAGTTTCACATAAAAGCCAGATCTAGCAAAATAAATGCAGATAAAAAAGAGAAAAATGTTATTAGTTGCTCACTAACACTCACTGGGTCAATCGGAGCTTCATGTCGGCCACTGAGAGCTGGCCAGCAAAGGGGTGTCCAGGGTTGATATTAAGCACTGCATCACGACCACCACCGTCGACCCACGTGGTGTAGTTGTGTGTATGCTTCCAGGCTGACACAAATGCAGCATTGAAGTGGTCCAGCTCCCGACTACCCTCTGCCAAACACAAAGAAACATTTCAAATGACAAGTCTAAATGTCTGTCAGATAACTCAAACATTACGGTGAGTAGATGGCACAGTCAGTAGCATCACAAACTACGGATCGATGGCTGAATTGTCGTACGTTTGCATCCTCGTGCCCATTAAATTTGTTCAGTATAGTTAACTCTTATACTATACCTGCTCACACCTTGATTTGCTGGATAAATTTTACAGACAGGTCTGAAGCCTATGGGGAAAGGCAAATGCCAGGTTAAAAGAGAAAATCAACACGCACAATTATTATCTTGTTGATTTGCTCTAAGCACGAGATCAATCAAACACAGCAACAAGCAAAGCCAAGCAAAATTTAATTGTTGTTTATGATTTATTTCTTCCTTGTTGATATTATAATTTCCATTCTAATGGAACGCAGATTTGACAAACACTTCAGTTCAGATCATATTTGTCGTAACCTAACGTTACGCTAGAAAAGTGGACAGTAATTATAAAGAACCACTTACGATCGCTGTTGGACATAGAAGGAGGAGCCGTGACGAATCATCCCACTTCAGGGCTCAGTGCACAGTGCAGCCACCCCGCAAAACATAATAACTCTTCCGTTACTAATAATTATAACTGTTCATATATGAAACTATAATGACTTCTACTACACTCGTCTTCCCCATAAAAAAAAGTCAATATCATAAATTCAAAATTAACTCAACTTTCAAAATAAAATAAATTCACTTTCAATAAAATGCAACCAAAATTTCTTCTTCCCATTATTCAGTAATAATTTTACAAGTCCAGCCTGTGAGGCTTTCGCACAGTCCGTGCAGACTTCCTCAGCGAGGGTGGTGGGCTGCACTGTGCTAGCGGCGACGCAGGAGTTGGCTGAGGCTGGGCTTGCCCTAGGCTCTCCCTGGGACTGGTCGTAGGCCTAGGTACAGGTGACATCATCATGGGACTGGTTGGTCGATCCTCCGGCGGGGGTGAATTCTTGGGTACTTGGGGTGATACAACGGGGTCCTTGGGTGATACAAAAATCTCCTCCTCTTCTGCATACCGAGCTCTCAAGTGATCCGCATGACAAAATCGGGGTTTTCCACCAATAACACTCACCAGATAGGTGACCGGACTTCTCTTTAGAATTATTTTGCCAGGAACCCAAGATATCTTTTCATTTCGGACAGTTTTGACATAGACTGCCTGACCTTCTGAGAAAAATCTGCTTCTTCCCCTAAGCCTATCAGCTGCATCTTTTTGTTCCCTGTGTTTTTGATCAATGGATGACTGGAGATTGGGTTTTAACATAACCAACTGAGTACGAGGCTTCCAAGACAGGAACATTTCTGCAGGGGTTAAGCCAGTAACTGTATTTGGAGTGTTGCGGTACGCAAACAAGAAATTATCTAATTTCATTTGAAGAGTGGTACGCTGAGAACGCTGATGTTCCTCAATCACTTGACGCAAAAGGTTTTTCTTGACCTCCTGAACACTTCTCTCTGCAGATCCATTTGAAGCCGCATGATACGGGGGAGTTAATGTGAACTTCACATTGTTGTTATGCAAAAAGGTCTTGAACTCTTGACTAGTAAAAGATCTTCCGTTGTCCGACACCAGTTCAACAGGCAATCCATACGATGAAAACAAGGTACGGAGTTTCTCGATAACCTTGGAAGAATTCATGGAACTCATGATAAATACCTCTAACCATTTAGAGTATGTGTCAATCAAAACTAAAAGTTGCTGTCTCGACTCTGGATCCTCCGCAAAGTCAATGTGTATCCTCTGCCATCGAGTTGATGTTGTAGGCCATTGCTGCAACGGTACTTTAGGTACCGAATTCCTAGTTAACTGACACGCAGAACAAGAGGCCACCACGTCTTCAATCGACTTCTCCATGCCTGGCCACCAGACATAACTTCTCGCCAGCATCTTCATGCGTGTAACTCCCGGGTGTTGATCATGCAACATTTGAAGCACAGATGAATACAGTTTCTTTGGAATCACTACACGAGAACCCCACAGCAAACAACCTTGTTCCACGGACAACTCGTCCTTCTTCCTTAGAAAAATAGCTAGTTCTGGCTCAACCGAGCTCGACCAGCCGTACATCACAAAATCTCGGACCTTCGAAAGAATCGGATCCTTATCCGTCATTTTACCTATATGCAAGGCAGTAATAGGTGCAATGTCCTTGACAACACAGAAATTGTTCATCACTTCTGTACACACATCTACATGTGAAACAAAATTAGCATCCAGCTCTATAGGTTCCGCTTCTGCTAAGGGTAACCTAGACAACGCATCAGCGTGAGGGACATCCACTCCCTTCCGGTACCTAACCTCCAAATCATATGCTGATAGAATCAAGGCCCATCTCTGCAGCCTAGCTGCCGCCATACTAGGAACGCCCTTTTTAGAGCCAAAAATAGCCGTCAACGGCTGATGATCAGTCTGTAGAATACAGTGTCTTCCATATATATACTTATGAAACTTTTTGACTCCAAAGATCAAAGCCAGAGCCTCCCGATGTAACTGAGAATAATTCCGTTCACTGGAACTTAGCGTTTTCGATGCGAAGGCAATTGGCCTTTCCTGACCATCGATAAGATGAGATAGAACAGCAGCCACCCCTCTGGGACTCGCATCACACGTCAGAACTATGGGCTTTTTAACATCATAGTGAACTAACAAACTTGAGTCCAACACCCATGATTTACTCTCCTGAAAAGTCTTAGAACACACCTCCGACCACACCCATGGATGATCCTTATGTAATAAGTCATAAAAACAGCTTATTCTAGCAGACAGGTTAGGTATAAATGCATGATAATAATTTATTAGACCAATATAGGCTCGTAACTCTTCCTTAGTACTAGGCTCAGGCGCTTTACGCAGCGCAGTTAACAAACTTTCTTGTGGACGGAGACCATCTCGAGTAATCACATGTCCTAAATACTCGATTGAAGATTGCAAAAACTTACACTTTTGTTGGTTTACTCGAACACCAAACTCATCAAGGCGTTGCAGCACCTGCGCCAGACGGGCAAGCCCCTCTTCCTTAGAGCGAGCCGCCACTAAGACGTCATCTAAGTACGCCACCGTTCCTGGAAGACCTGTTAAAATTTGGTCGATGGCTGACTGAAAAATTGCAGGAGCTGAAGACAAACCATATGGTAGCCTTTTTAAACGATACAGACCCTTATGGGTAGCTAGGGTCAACAGATGTTGCGATTCATCCGCTACCGCCAATTGCTGATACGCATTTGAAAGATCAAGGCAGCTAAAAACTGAGCAACCGCCTAGAGTTGCAAAAATATCTTGAGCCTGTGGAAGCGGATAATGTTCCATTTCAATACACTGATTAAGAGTAATCTTATAATCGGCACAAAGCCTAACACCATTAGGCTTAGGGACAACCACAAGTGGAGTGCTCCACTGTGAATTAGTAACTCTGTACGCAACATCCTCTTGAACCATGCGGTCCAACTCACTCTCAACTTTCTCCCTTAACGCAAAAGGCACTGGTCTCGCCTTACAAAACTTAGGGACTGTCCCCTCCTTTAAGACAATATGAGCCTTAACACCCTTAATTTCGCCCGTTCCAGGCTGAAAAACTGACTTAAATTTACTCTTCAATTTAGCAATGTCCAAATCAGAACTGTGATCCACAGTGGCTTTACATGAAAACACATTTTGCCAATCTAACCTCAACTGGCCTAACCAGTTTCGCCCCAACAGAATCGGCTGACTCTTACTTTCTAAACTAACTACTGTCAAAGGCAAACTCGCCTGCTGATTATTATATTTAACATTGACATTCACTTGTCCCAGAACAGGTACATCATGACCTGAATAAGTAGTAAGTTTCACATTTGCTGGCCTAAGTTTGAGGTTAGAAAATTTTTCATAAAATATCTCAGAAGGACATATAGTCAAGGCACTGCCTGTATCTAGAATCATTTCTAAATATACATCATTAGCCACTAGGCCTACCTTATAGCCGTTGTCTGATCCTGATTTAAGGTTGTACAAACCTATCTCTGCCATTGGAACTTCTAGGCCTAGGCCTACCTCTTCCTCCACTTGATGGACCCCCATCCTAGGTGTCGACTTTTTACCATGGAAACTAGAAGATTTCTTGGCTTTACACACTTTCTTGAGATGACCTACTCTCTGACAACCGTGACACTTGTAACTGGCGAACGCACACGCACTAGGCCAATGACCAGCAGAACCACACCTCCAACAAGAGTTTCTAGAATTTTGATTTTCACTACTCCTATGCATGAAAGTTTTAGGCCTATTTTGACTTTTCACATTGATTTTCGCAATGTCCCCACGAGGTTGCACAAATAGGCTTGACTGCGATTCGGCCTGTTCCAGCCTGAGCGCTGACGCATAAGCTTCGTCAAAGTCCAATTCCTCCGACAACAATTTCTGCCGGATAGTTTCATTAGAAATGCCGGAAATCACTTTGTCCCTCAAAGCGTCTTTCAAAAAGGTACCAAATTTGCACGAACTAGCCAAATGTTTTATTGAAACCACAAACTCCGCTATGCTTTCGCCCGGCTTTTGCACACGAGAGTAGAATACATATCGCTCCGCCACAACCAACTTCTTGGGCGCATAATGTAATTTCAACAACGCTGCAAGTTCATCATAGGTCTTAGAATCTACCTCTACTGGTGATAATAAATCGGATAGGACCGATAAAACCCTGGGACCAATAACTGTAATTAAAACCGACACCTCGTTTTCCTTCTTGACATTGTTCGCTTTGAAAAAATGTTTCAGGCGCAACAAATAGGGCACAATGTCCTCCTCACTTGGATTAAATTCAGAAATCCTGCCAACACTAATACTCGCCATTTTTAATCATCTCAACTATAATACGCACTAAAACAACAACTGTTATCGCGTACTACCCTAACTATGATAAAAAGGTTTATTACCGACTGCGCCAAAATGTCGTAACCTAACGTTACGCTAGAAAAGTGGACAGTAATTATAAAGAACCACTTACGATCGCTGTTGGACATAGAAGGAGGAGCCGTGACGAATCATCCCACTTCAGGGCTCAGTGCACAGTGCAGCCACCCCGCAAAACATAATAACTCTTCCGTTACTAATAATTATAACTGTTCATATATGAAACTATAATGACTTCTACTACAATATTCGAACACATGTTTACCTTGAAGTAAAGATGTGCGTAGCAGGCAAAGAGTATATGCTCTGAACTGAGCCCTGATCCACTCGTCACCTCCTTCCCAGCCAACACCGTCGACAAAGACATCATGTTTCTCCTCAGCCACATGTCTCACCAGGTAGTCAGCAAACCTCAGATCCTCAGTAGACAGATGCAGTAGTCTTCTCAGCTCCAAGTCACTAGTCTCTACACGACCTGTCTCTACCTGACAACACACAGCAATGACATCATAAAGACATCATGTTTCTCCTCAGCCACATTTCTCACCAGGTAGTCAGCAAACCTCAGGTCCTCAGTAGACAGATGCAGTAGTCTTCTCAACTCCAAGTCACTAGTCTCTACACGACCTGTCTCTACCCGACCTGTCTCTACCTGACAACACACAGTAATGACATCATAAAGACATCACGTTTCTCCTCAGCCACATGTCTCACCAGGTAGTCAGCAAACCTCAGATCCTCAGTAGACAGATGCAGTAGTCTTCTCAGCTCCAAGTCACTAGTCTCTACACGACCTGTCTCTACTTGACAACACACAGCAATGACATCATAAAGACATCATGTTTCTCCTCAGCCACATTTCTCACCAGGTAGTCAGCTAACCTCAGGTCCTCAGTAGACAGATGCAGTAGTCTTCTCAGCTCCAAGTCACTAGTCTCTACACGACCTGTCTCTACCTGACAACACACAGTAATGACATCATAAAGACATCATGTTTCTCCTCAGCCACATTTCTCACCAGGTAGTCAGCAAACCTCAGGTCCTCAGTAGACAGATGCAGTAGTCTTCTCAGATCCAAGTCACTAGTCTCTACACGACCTGTCTCTATCTGACAACACACAGTAATGACATCATAAAGACATCATGTTTCTCCTCAGCCACATGTCTCACCAGGTTATCAGCAAACCTCAGGTACTCAGTAGACAGATGCAGTAGTCTTCTCAGCTCCAAGTCATTAGTCTCTACCTGACAACACACAGTAATGACATCATAAAGACATCATGTTTCTCCTCAGCTACATTTCTCACCAGGTAGTCAGCAAACCTCAGGTCATCAGTAGACAGATGCAGTAGTCTTCTCAGCTCCAAGTCACTAGTCTCTACACGACCTGTCTTTACCTGACAACACACAGTAATGACATCATAAAGACATCATGTTTCTCCTCAGCCACATTTCTCACCAGGTAGGCAGCAAACCTCAGGTCCTCAGTAGACAGATGCAGTAGTCTTCTCAGCTCCAAGTCACTAGTCTCCACCTGACAACACACAGTAATGACATCATAAAGACATCATGTTTCTCCTCAGCCACATTTCTCACCAGGTAGTCAGCAAACCTCAGGTACTCAGTAGACAGATGCAGTAGTCTTCTCAGCTCCAAGTCACTAGTCTCCACCTGACAACACACAGTAATGACATCATAAAGACATCATGTTTCTCCTCAGCCACATTTCTCACCAGGTAGTCAGCAAACCTCAGGTCCTCAGTAGACAGATGAAGTTGTCTTCTCAGCTCCAAGTCACTAGTCTCTACACAACCTGTCTTTACCTGACAACACACAGTAATGACAACATAAAGACATCATGTTTCTCCTCAGCCACATTTCTCACCAGGTAGGCAGCAAACCTCAGGTCCTCAGTAGACAGATGCAGTAGTCTTCTCAGCTCCAAGTCACTAGTGTCTACACGGCCTGTCTCTACCTGAAAACACACAGTAATGACATCATAAAGACATCATGTTTCTCCTCAGCCACATTTCTCACCAGATAGTCAGCAAACCTCAGGTCCTTAGTAGATAGATGCAGTAGTCTTCTCAGCTCCAAGTCACTAGTCTCTACACAACCTGTCTCTGCCTGACAACACACAGTAATGACATCATAAAGACATCATGTTTCTCCACAGCCACATTTCTCACCAGGTAGTCAGCAAACCTCAGGTCCTCAGTAGACAGATGCAGTAGTCTTCTCAGCTCCAAATGACTAGTCTCTACACAACCTGTCTCTACCTGACAACACACGGTAATGACATCATAAAGACATCATGTTTCTCCTCAGCCACATTTCTCACCAGGTTATCAGCAAACCTCAGGTCCTCAGTAGACAGATGCAGTAGTCTTCTCAGCTCCAAGTCACTAGTCTCTACACAACCTGTCTCTGCCTGACAACACACAGTAATGACATCATAAAGACATCATTAGTCTCACTTGAGCCACCATCTTGAACCTTGTTCTCATTGTCGTGGTTGATGACCTTTATTAGCAGCATGTGGAGTGTCTTGTCTGCGTCAAGAGAACAGCTTGTCTGTAACTTGTGCAGCTGACTCAAGGTAGCGTGTTAAGTTTTTTAGTTGTTAAGCTATTTCCACGCGAAGTCGATAAACTCATGAAACATCTTGATCACAGGCCCTTGGGCCTTAGGATTGTCTGATCGATAGACTTGTGTTGGCTCGTCACACTGTTCTCACAGCCGGTTCAGTCTTCGAGATGAGCGCTAAGAGTGCATTTGGTCAGTTGTGTTGTAGAGTGTGGATTAGTTTACCGGTAAAAAATGGAGTTGAATAGTGAAGCTGTGATAGTGGTTTTGGGTTTATATGATCTGGATCCTATAAATTTAAAAAATGTCTCCACTTAGGACCGCAAGTACCTATACTGCAGCGCAAGCTCTAACTAATCATCTTTGTTGCACATGTAAAAAAAAAGACAGATGCTTTAAAGACAGATGTATCTAACACAATTTCTAAGCTTTATACAGATGGCTAAGATATAATGGACTGGCTAAGCCCAAGCTGTGTTGTTGTTAAAGTACCAGTCCCTCTTTGCGCAAAATTCTTCTCAAAGCCCAGAGGAAAGAAATCAGGCTCGCTAATCCTCAGACAGCTTGATATCCTTTGACAGATCAAGGTCATCAGTGCCTGCAAAAGCCATGGGTTGTGAACCAAGGCTTCGTGCAGACGTGTCCATCATATTCACCTACCTATTCTATTCTATTTGATTTGTCAAATTTGTTGTTTTCCTCTAGGATTTTTTGTTTCTTGTTATTACAAGTGGTAACTATCCAGCTTTGTCCTACTTTACTAATCTGAATCTGGATTTTAAGCACTTTCTCCTGGCTAAGGATGCGTTCAGATTCCAGGTTCTGGGTTTGAAAAAAATACATTTTTCACTAATTGTGATAAAAAAAGTCCCATAAATCTCAAAAATAAGAGTTGCAGTTTGTGTGATTTTAAGTATTTTCAATTTGGTAGTGGGAGTAAAACTTTTTAAAAAGCACTTCAGAAATAAAAAAAAAAAAATATATATATATATATATATATATATAGATAAGTATTTTTGTTGTTTATTATCCCTTGCTTTGCTATTCATCAGATTATCATAAAACTCACCTTTACCCGGGATTGCCAGATAGAAAAACTCATAGTGTTGCTTGAAGAGCTATACAACTTCTCAATTTGCTTACAGTCCTAGTTACAGAAAAGTTAATCAAGGTCAGCCTACCTCCACCAAGACCTCCGCCAGTTTCTTCTTCTGTTTAAACAGCACATTGGTAGCTCCTACAAAGTAGCCCCTGACATTCTGGTCCATCAGCACATCCATGTAAGGCAGAGAGAGGTAAGGTAGGCAGAGATAACCCTGCAAAACAATCATTCATTCAATTTATCTTTATATGAGGGTGGTCCTTAATTATGATCTGCATTGAGCTCCCGTCACAACCAAGCAAGCTATAGTTCTATAGTCTTGGCTATAGCTATAGCTATAGTCTTGGTTAGTGAGTCGGTGGCTCAGTCGGTAGCGTCGCGGACTTCGGGCCCAAGGCAGCGATGTCGTGGGTTCGGATCCTGGTCACTGCCAATAACATTTTATCAGTACAGTTCACCTTTGTACTGTACCGGCTCACTCCTTGCTTTGCTGTAAACGATCCACGCACGGGCGCTTAGTCTATGTGGACGGGCAAATGCAAGGTTAAAAGAGGCCGCCAACCTCTTTAAAAAAAAAAAAAGTTCAAATCTGATATTAGGCTCTACTACTATCTTAGATGGTTCTCATCCCTACCCTATGGGACGGTAAATCTGATTATACTATTGAAAAAAGGTTGAGAAAGAATATTAACCCTTAGGCCAAGTATAAATTGTATCGCGTAATTAGATTTCTGTGATTTCAGTCGTCAATCGCTATTGATGTCCATTGTTAGTTGACATCAGTGAATTGAGCGAAGAGTGTAGATGTAGAAAATGAGCAAAACAGGTGGAGTGGTTCAGAGGTGGTTCTTAACCATTTGAATGATGTTTTCCATGGTGTATGTAAACTGCTGTTGTTATCAGTCTCATTTTCCCAAAGTTAAGGTAATTTTGCATTTTATATAGCAGTGTGGCTAAATGAGAGGGATTATCAAACCAATAGAGGACATCAATTTCTTTATGACTATCAAGGAAAAAATGTGGTTCAGATTCCACTATAAACTGTAGGTCCCTTAGTTGTCATTGGCTGTATGGACTATTAATTAACAGCTGTGTCTAAGGAACTTTACGGCCTTAGTCACTAACAAGACTAGAAGATCGAGCCACTCATCCTTCACTCATATTTGGGTTTAAATATGCACATAGTGGCGTCCCCATCTTAAATAATTGATTGATTGAGGACTATGGTAGCCCTGGAAGTCTGAAAAATGCTGATCAGCTAGCAAGATTCAATCACTGTCTCGATGGAAACAGATGAACCTGCTGCTAGTCCCGTTGTACAAATATATACACGGCTTCTACACACTCCCCAAGCCACTAATATTACACTAATGTTCTCATCGTATATCAAACCACATTTCTGCAAACACATCTGCCCACAAGCAGCAGTAATCACCAGGAAGCTCTGTAATCCAGCTACTAAGGTCACGAATTGTGGATATTTATAGGCATGCACTGTGGATGCGATACTCCCTGGTGTGGATTAACGTCCGCACAAGTGAGTACTAAGACTATCCACAGTGCTATCCCGATAATTTAGACCAATTCGTATATACCAAGGAAAAAATGTGGTTCGGATTCCACTATAAACTGTAGGTCCCTTAGTTGCCACTAGCTGTATGGGCTATTAATTAACAGCTGTGTCTAAGGAATGTCGGCCTTAGTCACTAACAAGACTACAAGATCGCACCACGCATCCTACACTCATCTCCATTCATACTTGGCTTAAAATACCTACTTTGTATGGTCGCCATTTAATAAGAAAGTATAAGAAAGTAAAGCTGAATTTTTATCCCAGGATTAGTTATGCCAACAGTGTTATTTGGAGGCTTCTGATTGGCTGAGGGAACACCATTACCGCATCGATACGGTTTGATGCCAACGGCCTCGGTGGTGTAGTGGATAGAGTGCCGGGCTGATGAACTGAAGGAGCCGGGTTCAAATCTTACCTGTGGCACTATTTTTTTGTCTTGGATTTTTTCATTATCAGCAAATTTGATTGGTTTGGTTATGTTATGACACTAATTTTATAATTAAAACATTATAAAATTTAATTTGAGCCATTTATAGTTTTATTTTATGAACAGAACTATTTTTTCGATTAAACCTCCATTAGATTTTTCATTATCAGCAAGTCTGTTTAGTTTGGTTAGGTTATGACAGTTTAATTTTATAATTAAAACATTATAAAATTTAATGTGAGGCATTTATAATTTTATTTTATGAACAGAACTATTTTTTCGATTAATCATCCTTCATTATAGTCTAGCAGAAGCCTCCAAATGACACTGTTGGCAAAACTAATCCTGAATAACAAATTGTGCCACCAGGAATTGACCACCTTCTTAACCACAGAATTCACATGATTCATACTTGGCAGGAGAGTAAATTTTCTTTCACAACGTTTTGAACTAGCTTGTATGGTTGCAAAGGGAGCTTAGTGAAATCTTAATTTACAGCTAGCCCTAATGTTATATTTTTTAAAATTCCCGATTTTTTATTTAATCTGCAACACTTAAACACTTTATAATTTGAGAACAAAAAGTATTTTACATTTAAAGTCAAATAAAGTTTTAATAATATATTTGAACAGTTTTTTACCTCTACGTCCAGACTCAGGTTGGTAGCTACAAATAGTAAATTCACATAGGCTAGACGGTACTTATTTCTATACAATTGTATTTAAATTTTGCTGACAACTTTTTCATTTAGTATCAGCATAGCCTAGACTAACCAACACAAGTAGACGTCACATCCCATTGTATATTTTGAAGCACGTTTTTCGTGTCTAGTTCATGTACGGTGACACTGGGCGCTAGTGTCGATGAAATTTTGTTTATATTATTTTAGGGTTAATTTCTTGATTTGTGCTTTATACGGTTTGGTTATATAACTAGGGGACAAGTTTTTGTTTATGATTAGATCGTATTATTTGGTTAATCGAGGTTTTAAATGACTGTAATAATGGGAAACAAATTGTAAACGAAACACGACCTCTACATAAACCGTACAGAACTAACAACAAAATTGTCTTCAGCTGTTCCATAAGGATGAGAAATCTACTAAGGGAGTATGTTTTATCTATGGTATCAGCATTGGCTCTAAGGGTTGGGAAGAGAAGACAGAATTGTCTAAAAATAACGAGTAGCGGTACAATTGAATCTTGATCCTAAATCAATGGTGAAGATGTAAATGTGTCCTGTAACTATTTTCTAAGTAGTTTTAAAAGACACAAAATGCACACCCGTGGTTTGCTTGTGATGCACTCTGAGATGGGCCCAATATATATTTGCACTCCCCCTTTCTTGCAGAGGAATTTTCTCTTCCTTGCCCCCAAACAAACCTATAAAATCTCTTGTACCTCTGAATAAAGTGGCCCTGCTCTTCCGTGTCATCAACCCGTTGCAAGCCAAGGTAAAGAAACTAGTAAGCTAGGCATATATAATGGTTTCTTATTATATTAGTTTGCCAGAGACTTCTTTGGCTCATTGGCAGCTCAGCTGTTTCAACACATGGATTTATGTTAAAGAAATGTGATATGGCAAACACTGCACAGCTGTGTCTTTAAAAACCTAAGCCAATTCAACTGAAAGTAAGGTTCTGTATCTACTGTAGAATGTAGATGCCTGATAACTTGACATAAGCTGTAGATACCAAGTTATGTCCTTTAAATACATTTGACCCAGAGATCAGATAATTTTTACATAGGCTAATTAGTTTAAAAATAAGGTAACATAACCAATGTACAAAATTCATGGGGAATCCAAATCTCCACATCACCTCTATCTTCAAGGCCAAGGACTGGAATTGATCATGTTGTCAAAAATCTTTTTCTAGTAATTAAATTAACCCCTGGCCAAAAGTTTACTATTTAGAGTATCAAATAGGACTAAAATTTATTGATTGCTACAGTACTGAGGTATTGCACAAGTATTCAGACAACTAAAAAGTTTAAAACTTAATGAATTGGTAAAATGTTGTTCCAGAAAGGCAATAAGCATTTTTGCATTCCCAATCTTACATAAAATTACATTCAGTACATATGTGCTCAACAGTTGATTTATAGGATTTTCTATCCTCTAAAGACTAATGCAATTACTCCTACAGTGTGGGTAAACATTTAATAACTGACTTTTTCAGTAAAAAAGCTGTAGAAGACATCTCACTTATACTGAAATCTTCCATAAATTTTTGGGTTAAAGCTTAAAATCCACTTTATTTGCTTCCCTAGCTCATGATAATAAAAGGAAATATGATAATAGGTTAACTCACATCATCAAAGACTTGTAAAGGGCAGCCGCATGCTTCAGCATCCACCTGTGCAACATTGGCAAGGAAACTCGACACAGTCGCTTCCCCGAGTGTGTCCATACTTGTGTCTCTCGGCAAATGTGATTCAGTCTGGCTCAAATCACTGGGGGACTTGTCACCGTTCAGAACACCATCAACGTCGTCACCGTTCGTCACATAATCACTCGTTACTTCTGCACCATATTTCTCCGGATCACAGTCCATCTCCTCGCACAGGTCGACCCCGTTGAGATCTTCATCTCTGCTCACCACTATACTCACATTGGAAGGAACACTCTGAATGTTTTGTTGGCAGGTAGACTCTAAGTTAACGTCTAGTTCCTCCTTATCAGGCTCCTTTATAATATCCTGGTCCATTTGGCATTTCTTTTCACTGTCCTCTATGATTATCTGTGCGGGTTCTGGTGCATAATGAGGAACGGGTGACATGGGCCTTGATGGTCTGAAAGTAAAAATTGGGTTTAGTTCTGTTCCAAATGAGATTTTGTTTTTGATTCCCCCAAATTTGGCATGTTGCAGTAAATGTTTCAAACGGATTTGCCCCAGAAAATTGGGTTCATCCTAATGATGTATTTTTTAAAACTGATCTATCCCCCAACAGCTCAACTAGTTCAATCTATTAAAATGATCAAATCACAAGACGAAGGCTGGGGCACTGTTACTGGAATTTATAGAGTGTAAAACCCTTAAGCCAAAAATGGTCAAATTAAATTGTATTCTACAACAGTGTGTTCATGGATGAACCTGTACTGTGTTTCAGAGTTCTCTTCAGGTTGGCAAGATTTTTCAGCCAAACTGAGTTTAGCCTAAAAGCAGGAGTGATAAAGCACAACAAAATTAGGGATGGACGGGTCCCGAAATTTCGGGAAATTTTCGGGAATAAATTATTCCCGATTTTCGGGACGGGATTACATTTGAATCGGGAATTTTTCGGGACGGGATTTGGTCCGATCGTCGGCGATTTTGCCGCTTCGCGAGTGACGATGACGCCGCTATCGCGAAAGATGTTCACGATTGTTCCGCGAACACAGGAGGCGAAGTCATTTCGACGATCGCGCCGTGACCGCGGAGTCATACCGACGACCCCGCCGATAGACCGCGAGTCATACTACGATCGCACCGTGACCGCTAGTCATACCGACGATCACGCCGATCGACCGCGAGTCATACTACGATCGCGCCTTGACCACTAGTCATACCGACGATCACGCCGTGACCGCTAGTCATACCGACGATCGCGCCGTGACCGCGGAGTCATACCGACGATCCCGCCGATCGACCGCGAGTCATACTACGATCGCACCGTGGCCGCTAGTCATACCGACGATCCCGCCGATCGACCGCGAGTCATACTACGATCGCACCGTGACCGCTAGTCATACCGACGATCCCGCCGATCGACCGCGAGTCATACTACGATCGCGCCGTGACCGCTAGTCATACCGACGATCACGCCGTGACCGCGGAGACATACCGACGATCACGCCGTGACCGCGGAGACATACCGACGATCATGCTGTGACCACAAAGTCATACCGACGATCACGCCAAAAACGCTGAGTCATACCGACGGTCGCGCCATGACCGCGAGTCATTTCGACGATCGCGCCATGACCGCGAGTCATTTCGACGATCGCGTCGTGACCGCGAGTCATTTCGACGATCATGCTGTAACCACAAAGTCATACCGACGATCACGCCGAGACCGCTGAGTCATACCGACGATCGTGCCCTGACGGCGAGTCATTTCGACGATCGCGCCGTTACCGCGGAGTCATACCGACGATCATGCTGTGACCACAAAGTCATACCGACGATCACGCGGAGTCATACCGACGATCGCGCCGTGACCGCGGAGTCATACCGACGATCTACCCGTGATCGCGGAGTCATACCGACGATCTTGCCGTGACCGCGGAGTCATTCCGACGATCTACCCGTGACCGCGGAGTCTTACCAACGATCACGCCGTGACCACAAAGTCATACCGACGATGACGCCGTGACCGCAAGTCATACCGACTATTATGCCGTGACCGCAGAGTCATACCGACTATCATGCCGTAACCGCGGAGTCATACCGACGCTCACACCGTGACCGCGGAGTCCTACCGACGATCGCGCCGTGACCTGGAGTCATACCGACGATCATGCCGCGACCGCAAGTCATACCGACGATCTACCCGTGACCGCGGAGTCATACCAACGATCACGCCGTGACCGCGAGTCATTTTGACGATCGCACCGTGACCGCGAGTCATTTTTATACCTGTAAATTTTTAGGCCTACCCATTTTCTTATTTTTATAGATCAGTACTATAAATGGTAAATATTTATTTTGTTTGTCTTGTTTGGTAACTGCAATACTCAAGACTTTCTTTTTATGCACAGGAAAAAATCCCGTCCCGTCCCGTCCCGAAAATTGGGAAGGAAATAAAAATCCCGTCCCGTCCCGTCCCGAACTAAAAATTCAATCCCGTCCATCCCTAAACAAAATAGAAAGTTACACTCCAACCGAGCTTTTATTATTGCGACAGTGATGCCAGAATGAACCAGTGAAGGTAGTGCAATCAAATTAAAGCTTTTCTGTAATTGTGGGTGACAATAACGAATCTATACACACACAACTGAGAGATGATCAGAATTTGTTCTGTCCACTTTTGAGAGAAAGAATTATGATGACTACGAGACTGTAAAATATTGCAGAGGTTGAAGACAGCGTTTCTTTGGTTTCGGGTGACAATAGTAATGTAGGCCTATAGACAACAGCAAGAGGTGTTCAAACTTTTACTTTGATCACAGAAAACAATTTTGATATCTCCATGACCGTGGGGGATCAGGGTTTTTTGACAATTCCAAACCGCGGCTTATGATCATGATTTTGCGTTAATCGCAAGAGATGGTAATGATCATGTCCAACAAAATTACTGTGATTAATGATTGTAGTTGTGATAACATTGTAAAAATGCACATTACACCAAATTTATGGTACTGAATTTTATACAGCTTTTGTACTGATAACCATATCAGCGATCTTCAAAACTTAAGATAAGTTTGTTGTGGTTGCAGGTAATGAGCTCATCTTACCTGATGCAAGCACAGTGGTGCAAGCCCTTCTCTATCATGTGGGGGTGTAGGGACAGCAGGGAGAGAATGGTGGTACACAGAGGCTCTACAGGGGATCTGTAGAACACTACACGTCGCTCTAGCAGCAACAGCTTGAACAGCAACAGAGTCTTGTGGCGAAACTGCTGCACCAGGTCTCTGGCTGATAAACCTGACACATGCATTACCATAAGCAATAAGCATCACACAACACTCTAGCCCAGACACGGTTATATTTTCATATTTGTATGACATTGTGATAAGGGCCAAGAGTATTAGGTCAGGTACAGGCGGAATCACAGTGACATTGCAGCGTGATGTAGCACAACAACGTAGAGACACTGAGTCTAGCCTATAAGCATGAGTCATTGTGCACCAAGTCAGAAAATGAAGCTAAGACTGGTTTATATTCTTGCGATTGCAGAAAGCTTCTGGAAAGATAGTGCTATTAAAAATTAGCGATATCAGTCACCATGATCTCGCCTCAATTATGATGTCCCTGGAACCACTGGAGATGTTCAACATCTGTCTGCAACCAAGGAACAGGTTTATCACAATAACAGCGTTTTTGGGAGACAGGAATCTTGGAATATAAAAGCTATTGCGAAAGTTATATATATAAACTTTGCGTGATTGAATCAGAAATCAGAAACGTTTTCAATATATATTCAATAATATTCAATATCTCATCGCAATTGGGAGAGCAGATTAGCATTACGTAGATAGGTGATTACAATTACATTAGGATCATGAGAGAATCCAGAACCATTATCGAGTCCAAATACAAAAAGATATTGAGACTTTAATGTTTCTAGACATTATCGATTTAGAGTTTTAAGGATTTCGGAATCAGAATTGGCTCGTCTCAAATTTTTTACTGCTAAATCCAGATGTTTTTTCATGACTGACAAAGTTCATAGTTTATTCGTGGTTTCATTGTTGAGATTGTAGCAGACAGAGCAACTTTTTAACAGCAAGGAATTATTATTAATGTAACTTTGTTTTTCAGACGTGTACAAAAATCCAATGTCTTTTGATGAAGAGAAGAACATTTTGATTGACAAACACAGTGATAATAGATAAAATTAGCAAAAAGGATAATCATTGCTGCAACCATAGATTAGCAAATAGGGAGTGCCCCTGAACATATGAATTTTATCTGGTGATCAGTGGCACTCCCACATTGCTAAGGGTTATAAAAGAGTCTACCACTACCGTAAACTCCCACCTGAGCTGTCAACTTTTTTCATGTGAGCCTCTTAAACTAAGCTGGAGAGAGCTAAACTCATGCGTTACACCAGACCTGACCAAACTAGCAGGTCAAGCTCAATATACAGTGCTGAATGCTGCTTCCTGCCTAGGGAAATAACACCTCAAATCAGCGGTTCCCAAACTGTGGGTCGCAAGAAGAGACCAAACATTAAAAATGTAAAAATGCACATTTTAATAGGGGTCAAGCTTAATTCCGAGGTAAAAATAATAACACAATACCCTTATCCTTTTCAAAGATCTAGATCTACACAACAAAGACTGAAGAGTGATTTACCTAATTCAATCAGGTTGCATTTATCAAAACACAGGGTGTCCACCAGGCCAACGAGAAAGAATTCATGAGTAAAAAAAAATTCCACGTAGTTCATGTCGTAAAATACTAAAATTTCCAACGTGTTTTGTGCCAACTCCCGCTATGCTGTTTTAGTGCTAACACAGCTCGCTATTTTAGTTATCGGAAAGAGCATTCTCAGTTAAAGAAACAAAATTTAAGATTAGGTACTGTAATATTGCCTGACACAAGTATTCAATTTTTATATATTACTGATTAAATCATCCAAAAATTAAAAACTAATTCTTAAACCTGCAATTTATCAATAACTTCTTATAAACGGTGATATGTCGATACCAAAATTAATCGAATAAAGGTACAGACACCTGAAAAATAATTTCAATTTTACCAAATTTTCTGTACTTTTATAGCATGTAATTTTAGAGTTATGGGTTGTTTTCCAAATGGCCTACTGAAATAATTAATGCAGAAATTACAAAAATTTCACGTAGCCAATTTAAGTTTTAAAACCTTCTAAACACAATAAATAAATACCACGTCAAAGTTAAATGAAGGTATTACAAAAAATATAAAAATAAAACGTTCTAGAAGTGTGCCACATTGAAATTTTTCAAAGCCAAACTCGAGGTTATAACGTGATCATCTAACACTGTCATAGAGACACCATCATTGTTTTCTGCGATAACTGAAAAATCCTGAATATCTCACTCAGTTACACAAACATCACCACTGTCTTCCATGGTCGTGACAAAATCCTGATATTGTTCAGCGGTACCGGAAACATTATAATCGTCTCCCGCGATCACAGTAAAGTTATCATCGCGATCGTAGCTTAATTCAAATAATTTTTCACGGTCATTATCTTCGAGCAATATTTTTTGGATATCAACATTGTTTCCCGCAGTTAAGGAAACATCATATCCGCATGCGCGATCGCGGCAAAATCACTAACATATCCCCAGCCATTTGGACATCATCATCGTCTCACGTGGTCACGGAAACATCATGGTCATGGAAACTTCATCGTCGTCTCCCGCGGGCAAGGAAACGTCATCGTCGTTTCCCGCAATCACGGAAACGTCATTGTCATCATGCGCGGTCGCGGCAAAACCATTAAAAAAATTCCACGGCCGTTTGGGGTTTTGACATCATCATTGTCTCAAACGGTCACGGAAACATCATCGTCGTCTCCCGCGGTCACGGAAACGTCATTGTCGTCTCCCGCGGTCAAGGAAACATCATCTTTATGCGCAATCGCAGCAAATTGAAAATTCCCGTTAGAATACGAAATTCACGTATAAATCCCAGTTTTCCCGGTCGGTGGACACCCTGAAACAGTAGCCTACAGTAGACTCTCTCTTATTCGGACTCCTCCGAATAACAGTTTTTCGGGTTAAACCGACGCCCCCAAAAACTCGTTAAAACGGACCGTTTAAATGCATACTGTATTTATACAGTATTTGACTTAAATTTAGGAGAGCATTGTATTTAGACACGTGATCACTGGTCTCAAATCTTTCCCACGAGAATAGTTATTTCAGTACCACCCACTTCCTGCCGATGTAGTCTGGTTAAACCGATGTGCTGATAAAAATTGTCCAGTTAAAGAGATGTGCTGATGAAAATTGTCCTCTTAAAGAGATTCATTACCACCGAGTGTAGTAAGGTTAAACCGATGTCCGGATAAGAGGGAGTCTACTGTATTTAAATTCCATTTTCATAATTTTGCTTTTTCTGTCACTTGTTTACAATATGACTATGGGTATTAAGTATGGATCATTTATTATAGCATAATATTAGGTCTACTATTATTTTACAGTAGGTAGCAAACAAACTCCAAAATGGTGATGGGTTGCCAGGCCAAAAAGTCTGCACTATACTGTTACTGTTAAGCTATTGATCAGACCTGGTGATATTTTAGAACAAACAGTTTATAATTTGCCATGATTGCAGGTAAAGATAATGATGTCTGCTTGATTGCTGGAGATATTCATAATTTCATGATGATCACAGGGAAGTTCTAGAAGTTCTGACTAAGAGGTCTAGGCCACTCGGGTATTTTAGTCTAGGGCCACAAATACTCTAAATACGGCACTAAATGTGTGTTCGCTTATGGTACTTTTATTTCAATTATCTTTCTTTTTTACCTATACTTCAACCATGCATTTTGAATATACAATGGATGAAAAGCGAACTATTAATTTTCTCAGTAATATAAACATACCAACAAATATTTGAGGTGCAGCTGAAACATCTGGTATTTGTAGCAGGCAGGTATTGAGGTTATTGTAGGCCTCTACCAGCATGGAAACCTAGTAAAGGAAAAAAATAATATTGTTAACAGATCCAATACCTACATTATGTTTGGAACTAAGATTAATAATACGTTTTACAAAGCTAACACAAGAGTACATTTGATAAGAGTTTTCTTCATAATTAAAGCTCTAGAGTTATAATAAAAAATATTATAAACAATAACCTTATAAATATATTATTACGTGTAATAGTTACTTTTTGTTCTTACTATCTGTAAGGCAATCAATACTGCACTACGGCCGTTTCTAAGATAACTCCATCTTCATGTGCGTAGTGGTACACTAAACTGGAGTCTTGTTGTTACACTTAACACAAACAGTCTTCATTTGAATTGTGTCAGGGAAATAAATATTAAACATATAAAAATACCCCCACAGCAACAAACCTGCAGACTAAGCGAATTTCCACTTATTCACATGGCTGAAATTCCACTAAATTATTCCCTAAAAATTGTCAGATTTATTTCCTTTAAATATCATTAATTTTAATAAGTACTTTGGTTTGCTGCTTCAGGGAAGATGATAAGGTGTGTTTTTATTGAAATATTGAATGGTTGGTATGAAGTAGCCTAAACAAATTTTCCAAATGTCATAAAAATATGTCCATGGACAAGCAAGCTAAAACAGTTTATTTATTCTCCATAAGAATAACATGGTAATTTTAAATTTACACTTTTTTGGAATGTTTTCTGTTACCGTTAGGCATACAACATTGCTTTACTATAATAAATTAGGTATTTGTTTATACCTGTTTAGCCCTAAAAAGTGGTTTGGAAAGTTATGTTTTTATGGTGAAAAATGGGGAAAACCCATTATATATCTGATATGAATATATTAATTTTAACCGATGTTGTTTTGGCCTCTGGGGACCTCAAAACGAGAAAGTAAATCGGTCCCGGGTCCAGGTCTTACCATGAGTACTACGGTAATACCTTATTCCCTAAGAAAAAAGACGGACAACTCAAATAGTTGGTCGTCAGTTTTTAAGCCATGCACGTGCTTGTCTGACTTTTAGTGTTAAGTGTAACAACAAGACTAGTTAAGTGTACCACTACGCAACTGAAGATGGGAGTTATCTTCTAAACGGTTGTAGTGCAGTCACCCCTGATTGCGTACGGTAAGAACAAAATATACTATTATACTTTCACGAAATCTGCCACACTCAATAAATAAGCAATAGTTAACTAGTTCTAAAATATGTTCATACCATATTTCATCAAAATCGGACCAAAATTACTTGAAAATCATGTTTTAGGAGACACCCACACACACACATATATTAATATGACAATTTGATCAAATAAGCTAGTGTTTGGCCTCTGGAGACATAAAAATAAAAAAGTATTCAGTCCCAGGTCTGGGTCATACCAGTACATTGTGACTCCAGCCATTTTATAAGAACTTAAGAACAAAATCTGGTGCACTCTATTATTTACCTACTGTTTGTTGTTGTTTATTACATTTTTCAAATAAAAAAAAGTGTACCTACCTTGGTAAAATCGCCTTCCTCGAAGTAAGCATGTGTAATGAGGGACATCTTGACCTGAATCTGGCCGTACAAAGGGACAGAACTAAGGACGCACACAGATTTCTGGACAGTACCTCGGGTGATATCTGCTGTGCGGTTCTTAATTTTCTGTAACAAAGGGAATCATGAGGAAGGAATTAGGCTTTTTTCACAATTTGTAAAATGCAAAACATGCCAACTTAACTATTTAAAGCTAGGTTTATAATACTTAGTGTTCTGCTGTTCTTTTAACTTCAACTGCTAATAGATTTCTTCCAGCCAGGAGCAGGAACAGCCAAGCGCTCAGTCTGGATGGGAGAGAGAAAATATTTTAACTTTCTGATCTCTTTTAACAGAGGCCACAGTATAGCATGTAGGCCTAATACTGTGTCATGTTTGTGGCTGTTGTTTTAATAGAAGGAATCCAAGAGCAGCACCGGAAAGTTGTTAACATGTTTTTAGAAGTACCTACTAAATTAATAGAAGATTTATGTCAGAAGACCTGAGTAGGCTACAGTACTTCAAAAGGCAACAAATGATACGTTATGTTTGAATAGGACTTTGTGCACAAGTTTTGTAAGACTCCTACAAAAAGTGCTGGTGAAAATGCATCTGATTCAAATTAGCTTAATTAATGCAAGTTTCAGAACGTCTGATACACAAATGAGTCCTGCTACCATACAGAACCATGTACCGTAGCGAGAATTAAACATATACTTGTACAATTTAAAAACCATACAGTTTATCCATACATTTTGAATCCATTGTAGACCTACAATTTTTATAACACTTAAAACTATCTAATGGGCAGTCTGAATGGATATGTACAATTTACCTCAACTGGTATCTGACGAAAACAAGAGATTCCATATACAGTCTGATCAGGATCTGTGAGGCTTGGTAAGTGGAAGTAAACTGTGTCATCGTCATAATTGTGTGATCCGTCTGGCAGAGCTAACGTTGGGAGATACTTCCACCCTGACGGACATTCACTGTCACTTTCTCCCTCATTCAGCGGTGGATAAGAATACTCAATCTAGGAAATTAAACCAACTTAAAAGTATAGTTTAGGCGGAAATTAGTCATAATTATATCTAAAGCATCATGCCAAGTGAAACTGGGACATACTCGGAAAACTATGGCGAAAATTTGATATCCAACTCCATCACATAATCAAACATAAAAAAAGTCGCCTAAGCAGATCCTTGAAATGCTTCCCACGGTCAGCTATCAAGATATTCTCACTTCCCAAAACTGTAAGTGTTTGAGCTAAAGCCATTAAAAAAGGTTATGTATTTAGGTATTGTATTTTGACACAATCTTTCCGATAATGTCAGTCAAAGATGAAGACATCTAGAATTCAAGTACAGTAAGTGTAAGTTAGGCCTAAGTAGGCTATTGATTTAACAAACTTATCCTAACCAAAAACCAAACTTCTATAACGGTTGTAACAAATTATATCTAGTTACGATGGAGACGGATATAAAAAGATCTGCTAAAATCACAGAGATATTAGGTACAAAAGGAAATATGCAATGAACACTTAAGTGGTGCCTAGCACCAGTGCTGGTGTGTAGGGCAATGTCCAACATCACACCCGCACCCCTCACCTTCATCTACTACAAAGCTCACGGTGGAGGAAAACCCATGTGCAGTAGGATTTGGGTATAGTTCTGCAGAGAACCTGTAGCATAATATCCGTTTAAATATTGATATTAGTTCAGGCCTGTACTGTAACTTAGCTATTGTAATTTAGTTCTAACTTATATATCGCTTCTAAAATTTGTTCCCCAATGTTATCATCAAACTGAGATATGATCTGTTTAAACTTACCTTTTTATTGGTTTTAAACAAATGTAAACATCGAATTGAGTAAGTTAACGTTCTCTTTACAAGTTTAAATTGATGTTTAATAAATTAAACATTGGGCCTAACTTGAGCTATCCATACTCTAAGCTAACTTACGTACCGGTATTCAATCAAAAACAAAATATATTTTATGAACATTAACAAAACAAACAATAACCTAAACTTATTGATATGATTACAGCATAGGGTTTACAAATTTAAGTTTATTCCATTTTTTTTTTTAATTTAGGGCAAAACTAATAAAAAAATGAAACAACTTTAATACCGGTAAGTTAGGCCTAATGCTTTTGTTATTGTTTTTATTTTTACCCTTATTGATAATTTAATCTGATGATATATCGCAGCTTCTCTGCGGAATTGTAGGCCTAGGCCAACACTATAAATTCATACAGTTCTTATTCTTTCCGCTTGGGTTCTTGATTGCTTGTTACAGGTATAACTTATTTCCGGCTAACTGACTAGAGCTGAAAATGTATGGTCGTACCATAAGTGTGTTACCTTACTGCTATGTGCTAAAATATATTAAGTAGGGAAGTTACTTACATAACTCTGGTAGTAATAAACTGTTAACTTAAAGGTCCATTTCCTATCCTGCGACTGTTACGACTCTAGCCGCACGGCCCTAGCCGCGCGTCTAGAGCCGTACGGCTGGAGACGCTGGTCTCAATTCCTATGCCGCGACTCCTACGACTCCCACGACTAGTTACTAGTGAAATTGCACTACTGACCGTCATGGAATAAGCACAGTTAGCAGTGAATATATTTCTTGGAGAAAAGGAGGAAAGGAATTATTAAGGTGCATGGTAAAAAACAATGAACAACCTAATCCATTGTTCATGGTACGGTGAAAATAGGGGTTTCAGAGTATTCTTATTCAGAGACATCTTCTTCAAGTATTGCTGGTGAACGTATGGGTAGTGACGAACCAATTCCATCAACTTTGAATCACCTATGAAGGTAAACACCTCAAAATTCGTATGTATAAACTATAAATTAGTTACAGCCGCTTGACTGAAGCGACTGAACTGCTTACGGAGCAGTCCAGTCGCGACGGCTCTAGCCGCACGGCTCCAGTCGTGCGGCTGTAGATGCTCGATAGGAAACGGTTGCATTTACTTTGCATTAAAGCAGTCAATTTTTTCGGGTACAGTTTCTTAACTGGTCTATGCTAATATCGATTGAAACTATCGATTCGATTAGTAAACCTTCATGCGATTTTTTTGACCAAAAGCAAGTTTGGTTGGTTAGGTTAGGTTATGATAGTTAAATTTTATAATAGATATATTTAAAAATATCGATTATTAATCAATATTTTCAATTCGATAGTTTCAATCGATATTAGCATAGCCCAGTTAAGAAACTGTACCCATTTTGAAGCCTAAATGAACAAAGATGAAGAGATGGCAACAGGGCTAGGCCCTACTTAATTGAATCGTTTATTTAACCACGACAAATTAACTCAGATTTCTTCTGGATAATAGTAGGGCTATATCGTTGATTTAGAATACAACACAAATAATTAATGAAGATTTACCTGGCATCCTTTTTTGTGATGAAATCCAACAACAAGGACGTGAAGGATCGGCTTAGGGGAATGTGTTACAGATTCTTCTTTCATTTTGGTGGTTTATAAAACTCGTACAATAAATTTAAACTGTTAATTTTTGGTAATCAAGAGACGCAGAACAACACAATAATTTTCTCAACTGACATTTGCACTTGACAAAGCAAAGCTTCAACCTGTCTGTCTGTCTACTTACCTGTGTCCCACTCCCACCCCACTCCAACCAACTCCAACTCCAACTCCACTCTTGTTCTCTTGTTGTATCTGCATTCTGCATTCTGCAATGAAATGGTATTCTTCTTTTCTACAAGCTGGTAAACCCGGTAAACCAAACAGAAGCCCCACTACGAAATAAATACCGATGAGACACGGCCGCCTTTAACTCCAGGCCGCGGCCTTCGAAGTGGTAACGTCGCAAGTGGTGTTGTAACAGACTGTTTTGTTTTTCCTTCCACCATGAGCTAATGGTATTAGTGTATTTACGAAAGATTGGTTACTGGACTATGACAATATTGACTCGGCATAAAATATACTGATACTGTTTCGGTTTTCAATTTTGTATGTTTTATTTTCAATATTTTAATAAATTTATGTTCATAAATTTTAATTTTAATCAATTAAGTTCGAATAAATGACCTGTCTGCCGTGTAAAAAAAATAAATGTTCATGACAATCGTCAAAAGTTATCTTATGCTTATGAGACGTCTGTCACTAAGCAACACCACTTGCGACGTTGCCCCAATTCAACTAGGCCACGGCCTGTAGTTAAAGGTGGCCGTGGGTAATACTTGAGCTTAACTACGGCCGCCTTTAACTCCAGGCCTTCGAACTGGCAACGTCGCAAATTGTGTTGTAACAGCTGTTTTTGTTTGGAAGTAGCTAATGGTATTTTCATATGTTTATGAAAGATTGGTTACTGGACTATGACAATATTGACTCCGCTTAAAATATACAGATATAAATTTTAGTTCATATTGTTTCGGTTTTTAATACTGTATGTTTTATTTCCAATATTTTAATAAATTTATGTTCATAAATTTAAATTTAAATAATTAAAAGTGCTATATAAGTTTTTATTTTTTCTTTTTTAGTATGCATGCATTGCTTTGCTTGTTTTGTAATGAGTGAGCTCCTGCATGTGTTCATTTCTAGTCTAAGACCATTAGCATAAAACTAGGCCTGACCTGGGCAAAATTAATAACAAAGCAAAACCAACTGGAATGTGTTAGGCATGCATCCCTTAACATTTTGTGAAAATTCCCAACTTTTCCCACTGTAGTAAAATCCGCCATCTTGGAAAATGGCGGACAATCTATAGAACACTGCAAAGTTCCACTTAAAAACTTATTGTTCCCAAACAGTTCCATCTAGAAAAGTGTAGTTAGTCTTAAAGTATTTGGCATAATATTACCTACCAGAAAATATCATATTGTATAATAGTTATATGATTTTAATAGAGAACAAACAAATTAAATTTTAAAATATGTAAAAAAAATTAGACATATTCTCACTTTTTCGGGGTGTTCGCCATTATTATTGAGGAAATGCAGATTTTACCTTTGAGCAAACATATAGGGCTTTAAATTCCGCTTCATTTCCATATAATATAACAATTTTTGAGCAATATTGGCGTAAACGGCGATTGTCAAAGTTCACTCTCCGTAACGCACCTGTTGGACCAAAATGTATATAGTGTGGTTGTATGGTTGTATAAAGTGGCAGAAAAATTCAGTTCTGGCGGTGAACATGCAACTTGAGGTGGTTATAGTATAGAAGTCCCTAAACGTAAAAATGTCCAGAACCCAATTTTTAAGGACCTCGGTCGTCGATAATGACGTCATCTGGATGGCGGCTTTAAAAGGATGCTGGGTCGCCATGAGTTGGTTCCAATTGCCTGAACCGATTTTAATGAAATTTGGAATACAAGTGATTGAATACATTATCTCAACTCAGGTTTTCAATGGTCGAGTTTGATCAAGTAGTTTTAAAATGGTGGCCGTTAATAATTAAAATAATAAAAATGTTTCAGTTTTTTGTGTTCTCAACTCCCTTCAGGGATCTGCATTAACCTATTAATTTTCCTTGCAATCACAAGGACAATGTGCTGCGGTGGTGCTCGGAGAGTGAGATGGAGTTGAACATATCTAAGTGCGTTGTACTCTCTTTCTCTCGGCGCATGAATGTAAAGGTGTTCAATTATACCTTATTTGGTTCGACTCACCACCGATCCTCTACAGTGAAAGATCTCGGAGTAACTGTTTCCTCGAATCTAAGTAAGAAGGCTTATTCTGCTCTGGGATTTGTTGTCAGAATGTTTCGAGATGGGTTTTCACCTCATGCCCTATAAGGACTTTGTATGTGCAGCTGGTCCACCCTTTGTTGGAGTACTGCTCGCCAGTTTGGTCACCATACCTGTTATGCCATGTTGATCTTCTCGAGGGTGTACAGAGAAAATTTCTTCGAGTACTTGGAGTGAGTCTGGGCTTTCGCTACCTTGAAGTACCACTGGATGAGATGGAACGTCGGTTTGGACTTCTTCCTCTGAGTTCGAGACGCAAAATCGTTGATCTGCTGCTCTTAAGGAAGATCATCACAGCCTCGGTCGATTCACCAGATTTGCTGAGCAGGGTTGATTTTCGTTGTGCTCGGGTGGTTCGATCCAGAGGACTCTTTGAGAGAGCTCATTGTTCGACACAGTATTCTTACCACAGTGCTCTGCCTCGCCTTCATCGTCTGGGAAACAGCCTGCCCAGTTATATCGACCTGATTCAGTTCTCCGAGAATCATCTTAGGAAAGAGCTAACCAACTTCTACTCGTCAGAGGAGCTTGTGCATGTTTGATTTTTTTTGTTTATTAGCTTTTCGTTAGGAGTGTGGCGATGACTTAGTGTTGGGGCCGTCGACTCCCCTCACTTCCGAGCCAATGAGTGCATGTTTCTGTGCAAGAGTGTGTGGTAGTGTTGGGGCCGTCGACTCCCCTCACTTCTGTGCATTTCATATTTATTAATATTTATGGTCTATCTTGTTGTTACCTTTATTGTTAAGTTTTTTTTATTTTTCTTTAGAGTTTACCGTACTTTTGCACATTGTTATTTCTGTAAATTTGCTGTTTTTGCCTCCATAATATGTATTTATTTTGTAGTGTTTCATATTTTTGGGTTTGCTTATTGTTAGTCTCTGCTTCGTTAATATTTATTGTATTATTGTCCCTGCATGTTAACTAGTCTTTATTGCCACTTGCTGTGATATTTATCATATATTTATTTTCTCAACTTTGTTTTGTTAATTAAGTGTAGTGCTTTGACTATTATTACGTCATATTTGTTGGCCATCTGTATATAATTGCAATGTGAAATGTAAAATGGTGTTTGCCGTATACAAATAAATAAATAAATAAATAAATAAACTCAGAACTCAGTGTACATCGAGGCTGCCTGGTCTATCAAACCGAAGCCTGCTAACTAGAGGAAAACAAATTATTGTTGTTATTAAAATTATTGTTATTATTGCCTACGGTGTTGTTATTGTTATTGTTGTGTTGTGGTGTGGTTGTGTTTGTGTGGTGAGTGAGAGAGAGAGAGAGAGAGAGAGACAGAGAACAGACAGAAGACAGGACACAGAACAGACTATTTAGTGAGAGTGATTAGGTTTAGGTTAGTTAGTGAAATTTTCTCTAAATTTAGATAACCCATTAATTGTGTTGATTCCAATTTCGTAAGTCACAAATGTAACTAGGCCTAAGCCCAGGTCTCTCCACTTTTTATTTTCGACTTTTAGTCTATAAAGATAAAATGCTTAATTTCTTTCAACCCTAACCTCACATAATATTCTATGTGTTTTGGTTGTTTCAATTGTATTGTTGCTTAACTTATACATTGATGGAATGGAAACTGGAAAGGTTATGTTTATCTTTATCATTTTATGAAGAGTAGGTAATCTGTTTGAACCATTGACTATTGAACTGCTTTAAAACTAGCCTATTTTCACATTTTCTTAGCGCTGTTTTAATAGTTCCAAGTTGTGAAAATGAAAATGATCATCCCAACCGAGTGTGGGAATTTGTACTCAATAATTTTAATTTTATGCTTTGGAAATGTCTATGTTCAATCTGGTGAAAACATTGGTTGCGGTTGTAGTGTAACAAACCGAGAATTTGTAAAGCAGCCCTTATATGACACATTCATAAAACTTGTTGAATACGGGAGACCTCATGAAAAAATATGTCCATCTGTAAAGTTGTTGTCTTCACCGAGATACAAAAATATGGCTTTCATAACAGGAGGGAAATATATGATGGGAACAAATGACCCAATTATTAAAATGGATGGCGAGTCACCAGAAAGAAAGGTCATGGTGAACGATTTTTTCATGGACATTTATGAAGTAAGCAACAGTGATTTTAAAGAATTTGTTGATAGTACTGGCTACACAACTGAAGCAGAATCTTTTGGTAACTCATTTGTGTTTGAAATTTTAATAAGTGAGGAAACCAAAGCAAAGATTAAACAAGCTGTGGCAGCAGCACCTTGGTGGCTACCAGTGGACGGAGCTGACTGGAAACATCCTGAGGGGCCGGACTCAAATGTTGACAGTAAGTCATTATAAATGAACTAACTTATACAGTGCCCTGGATGAATATTACTAGGCCTAAGTGAAAATATCAATGTTTCAAAATACTTATAGGCTTATGCAAGGCATATTGTTTGATAAACCAGACTAATAACTTGATCGAGTGTTCTATTACATGGAACTACCCATCCAGCTTTTGCTGCACTTTTTTGTTAGTGATTTTTAGGCCTTAATATGCAAAGATAATTTTAATACTTCAATCAAGGACTCCATAGGTCTATTAGAATGTATTGGCTAAACTTATTTAACCAGTTATTCATTTTCTAATTCAACTAAGTTCATCCTATTTTAAAATCCAAGTGAATTAGCCTACTACATAGGTAATTATCAAAGTATTTCCCCACCCAAGACAAAGTTGAGTGCGGGATTGCTACCTTCCCTATACGAGTATGATCAACATATTTTAGATGAGTAACGTACAATATTTTTCGCCATACTACTCTAAACTAACCTAGCAATAAACAAATGGTACCGGTAACAGCAATCTGACAAGTAGGCCTAGGCCTAGCTTCTATAAATTTATCATGAGTACGGTACTTTAAAAAGCGGTTGGAGTAAGTTATGATTTGATAAGGAGAATCACAAAAGTTGAAATAACTTTTGAACAGTAATTTTTACAGCAATGGTGGGGGGGGGGGTGTTGCAATATTTTGTTTTAACACGTTCGCTGCTGCGGACGTTCCGGAACGTCAGCCGGGCCAACTTATTAATATGTAACTTACTGTTTTGCAAAATTAATTTAAGTGGGTGAAAGACAATAAATAACAATTTAAAAAACGTTATCAACTTTTGTTAGGTAGAATGGATCACCCAGTGGTTCACGTGTCATGGAATGATGCTGTAGCCTACTGCAAGTGGGCTGGTAAACGGTTGCCTACAGAGGCGGAGTGGGAATATGCTTGCCGCAGTAACTTACACAGGAGACGCTACCCATGGGGCAACAGTGTCTTACCTAAAGGAGAGCACAGGTTGGTATAACCATTATTTATTTATTTATTTATTTATTTATTCATTCATTCATTCATTCATTCATTCAGACAAGTAATAACATAGCAAGCAAACAGTAGTGATAATTCTTAAAATATATCTATGAAAAGCAAACAGTGGAATAAATATTAGAAAAATAGCCAAGCAATACAACTGTAGTTCTCAATGTAGTTCAAATATAGTTCTCATCAAGCAATAGCTAACCAAAATAAACTAAACTAAAAACTTAACATTCTGAGCAGTGTAAAATATAATTAAGCCGACAGTAATTAAAACAAGGGAAAACAACAAAACATTTGAACATCAGCCTAGCAATAACAATAACTAAGAATTCAATATTAGACAATAGGAACTTAAAGAGAGTAAATAAAAGGAAATATAAATCTATATAATTATTATGCTACATGAAACTTTGTCGGTTGAACTCCTTCACCATTTCTTAACCGATTTCATCCATTGACGTCTCATTGGAAAGAGCGTGTCGCGTAGAATTGCAAACTGGCCTTACATTTTTTTTAAATCCCTTGGGTTCAGCCCCAGTGGCTTTGAAAGTTCCCATGTTATCCTTATAAAGAACATAATTATTTACATTTTGATCAGCTGTATAATTTAATTGCTGTTGTTTATTTTTCAATTCAATGAAACGCATTGAGTACATTTGTTTACTATTTAAGTTTGTGTTTACATAACCCCCAAGACGGATCGTGTTAAAGTATGGTTGCATCTTAAATTTGTGTATTTACCATTGTTTTGTGTCGCTATGACGGATCGTGTTAGCATGATTGTAACTTAAATTTGTGCATTTATCGTTGTTTTGTGTAGCTATAATTTGTTTATTCGTTGTTTTTTTTTCTTTTAAACGCCTCCGACGCGACGACAACGAAACATAGACAGGAGGCGTAATCGTGATAACGACCGCAGCTACAGAACAGTGGCGCGTAATAGGCTTAACTCATCACAGTCAGCACCTGACCCTGGACAATCTCAACTATTAGGTTACAAATGCGCCCTAACACTACCCCAAAATGACTTTTCGTTCTCAATTGGCCCTCTATCAATAACCTGTGTTGCCTGTACACTGTACAGCGAGGCATTTTGAGTAGGAGAAAACCGGCCGGAATGCTTTAGGTTTATCAATAAAGAAGATAAACATGGTCTGAGTTACACACCAGTAATCTTTGAGTTGACTCTTTTAAACTCATTGTAAATATAATTGTTATTCGTTTCGGAATAACTCCTGTAATACTTTGCAATTATTCGAGCAACATGTACACTAGTATGTTATAAATATGTAAATTTATAACTAGAGTCGGGACCACATAAGTTTGCAGCTGAGGGAGGAGCCTATTTACCATGGGTTTGAATGAACCAATGAGAACCGTGCGGTGTTGCCAAATCTAATAATACCAGCTGATTTGAAAATATTGCTTAGTATATTTTATTAGTAAGATGTGGCAACGTTGCACTAGCCTTGTCTTGTGATTGGCTGCCACCAACTGCAAACTTACGTGGTCCCGACTTTAATAGCATACCTAGACAAAAAGAATTAAATATAGACTGTCAGCCATGCCGCGGTTACCATAGGTCCTGGCACACACCGCTGGGAGCGCCTTGTATTTACCTTTACCGGTTCTTCATCGTTGCCCAGCCGTAGCTGGATAGATTGCATTTTGAAAAATTAAAACTTTAAAACTGACTATATACAAGGCTGTTCTGACTGATCTAGAAAGACTCTCTAGAATCAAGTCGGCAAAATTTAAGTTATTAAATTTAGAGGTTTAAAATCGAGTTCTGAAACGAAAATAGTCGTAAAACGAGAATGCGTGCGTTAAACGAAAATAAAGTAAAACGTAGAAATGGTCTAACTATTAGAATAGCTAACCTTCGTAATATCGGCGATCGGCGGGAATGCGTAAGTAGTCTTGTAACGATGACGTTACTTCGTAGACGGCGTGTGAACGAATAATCCTGTCTTTGAGTAAAATCCTTCGTTCCTGCCCGCTCGAGGCTTACGCGCTCAAGCGGCGAACTTTAGTACTACTAGATAACAGCTGATCGAATTCACTTGTTGAGCTGGTCTAGTTTCGTCTGTCGTCTGTCAACAAATAAACACCAGTTTGGGGTTATGTCGTCGTCGGCGTTAAATACCTGTAAAATCGGCCGGTTTAACTTTATTATGTGAAACGAAGTGCTATTATGAATAAATATGTAGTTGTGGATGTGTTTGTGTACTTCACTGCGAATAAAAATAGGCCTACGTTCTTTGGCCCATAGTCCAAGCTATGGCCAACACATAGAGCTTGGAGTAGGCTATTGTGGTTAAAAATCGGGTAAGTTCTTGCGTTCATTTATTCGTAGTACGTTTTTACCCCCCTTAAAATTTGGTACCTTACAAAATAAAAGAGCTGATGATATTTATCCTCTTTGCTGATTTTTGTAATCTATCAAATAAACTGCATCAGCAATCTGAAACATACTTTCTCCCATCCTTGTCACCAAATAAAATAAAAGAGCTGAAGATATTTATCCTCTTTGCTTATTTTTGTAATCTCTCAAATAAATGGCATCAACAATATGAAACATACTTTCTCCCATCAGCTTGTCACAACCCTGATCATGGGTAGGTATGCGTTGTGATTAACTACTGTATGATATTTTATGGGGAAAACCATAAAATAGTTGCATTAAATTTTGAAGTGTAATTTTAACAGCAGTTGGGGTTGTACCATATTGTTTTGAGTTAAAAGGGCTATACAAATACTTAATTACTAATAACAATTGTTTAAGCCGCTTATTAGATTTTATGGGAAATCAGCTTTGCCTGTCAATTCGATGGCAACGCTGGTGGCGCTGCCTATGAATTGACAGGCAAAGCTCTCTCAAAGTACTCAACGCTTTTTACCATGCGGTTGGCATTCTGGGTTATAGTAGTATGTTTTCTGTGGTAGTACCCACATGCAAAACTTAATAAAAAATCACACCACAGGTTGTGGCCTGTAGCTTTGTAGGTACACATCCATAAACATAATGGCATGCTGTGCAGACATCACAAAAAAAAAACAAACAAAAAACAACAATTTATTGGATTTAGGGGAACCCAAAACAGACATTTTACTCATAACTCAAACTTGAAAATTTTGACAAAACAATACTTTCTCTAGGCTATATACAATGTATGGGGGGAAAGTAAAAATGACTTATTGTTGCAGAATGAACATCTGGCAAGGGGAGTTCCCCCACAACAACACAGCAGAGGATGGTTTTGTATCAACTGCTCCGGTTCATCAGTTCCCCAACTCCAGTTTGGGGCTGCACAACATGGTGGGGAACGTGTGGGAATGGGTTAGTGACTGGTGGACTACCAAACACAAACCATCATACCAAGTCAACCCAGTAAGTATTTACACTCTCAACTCCTACTGAGTATTATAATTGTGGAGTAGGCGTATTACTTTTAAGGTCTTTTATCAATCAACCAGTTACTCTTCTTGAACACTTCATGATTTCATGCTTTCACACTGCACTGATTTTTTATCGGATGTGTAAAAATCGGATCCTTACTTACTACACCAGAACAGAGTTCTCTATCAGTTCTGTGGAGAGTGTTGTTAACCATGGATCGCAAAAAAATCATAGCTGCATTAATATTATACTGACGTCAAAAACGTGAGCCCTGGTTTAATTAAGCAATACCATTGTAGTATAGTGAACATTTAACTCAATGGAACATTCTTTTCAGACAGGACCAAAATCAGGGGTGGACAAAGTAAAGAAAGGTGGGTCCTATCTTTGCCACCGTTCATACTGTTTCCGCCACCGTTGTGCGGCAAGATCACAGAACACTCCAGATAGTTCTGCAGGGAACCTTGGCTTCCGATGTGTGGCCGAGCCCGACAAGTTCAATCTCGACCAAGGAACATGACAAAGGCGTCAGGTTGTTTTGTATGTAAATGAATAATGTTCACTTATACCTATGACATTGTTATATTAAAAATTGTATATAAGACTAAGTTACCACCAATATTCTTTTTAGGAGTGGTTTGTGAATTTAATAATGAATTTTGTACTTTAAAACTTTTACTATGAGACTGAACTTTTTACATTCCTCATGGCTAATTCTTTTGTATTTGGGGAATATTTTTGAAAAAGAAAATTACTAGCAGTGGTAATAAGAAAAAAATATGTGTTTACCACTCTGAACACAGGAGCTCAGTAGAGGCATCCTACCATTGACTATAAATACTATCAATGGTATATCTATAGGCCTACTATTAACCAACGATCTTGGGCTGATAAGCTACGGTATAGGATTGCTGACCTGAGAGCATTGCCTGTGTATACTGCAACTGTAATGACAATTTATTTACAATGTTTAGATCAAGACTGACTAGCAAGTAAATCAGAATCCATTGTCCTACTTCTGGATATTGATAGAAAGTATTTCACAACCACAGACACAGTCAACAATTTTCATTAAAATTGTTAATTCAATATTATGGTTGATGTTTTTGTGTTAGGTTATTACAAGGATTTTGTAAGGCAGTGATATACTTTCTACCGGCTAGCAGGCATTTGAGGTTTTGTTTTAAATAAATAAAAAAACTTAAAATTCATCTACCAGGGTAGCTTTTAACACTAGGCACTTTTATAATTCTTTTGAGAGTTGCATTTACTGGAGTAAAAAAGGATTCCAAATCCTATGATTTGATTAGTGGCAAAAAAGGGAAAAAAGTTGAATGAAGGTTGGAACATAAAATTTATATTTACCCTGATATCCTCATATAATTGCTTTACGATGAGCCTTGTTGTGTTGTATTGTTTAGAAGTCAGAAGGTGTGTGAATCTTAACAGAGGTGTGAATAATAATTTGTAAAGTTATAATGAATTTATTTATGTATAAGTAAGTTAACATAAAAAATAGTGCTCATAGATTTAAAATTGTCTTTATTTTCATCTATTTTGTTTACTTAAAACACTGTAACATATAGAATATTACCGATGCAACTTTGGTCCAAACGTATTGACAATGCACTAGTGAAATAAAAATGTATACAGGATTTTGCAATATTTACTATTGTTTTTAAACTCCCTATGAACAAAGCCAAAATATATCATCACTAGGGCGTAGCGTGACTCTTTTTACCGGAGCTCAAGTAATGCGATCGAGGTTGGAAAATGGGCTAAGAATTGAAAAGACACTTTGTGTGCGTGTAATGTACTACCTACCTTTATATACTTTTTGTCACATTACTCCATTATTTAAGCATACAAATGTACAAAAGAAATTAGTTTTCATGTAAAGATAACCTCCTTAAACGACTTCCAGCTTGTTTTCAAGCTTACCAATTAATGCAAACAAGCAGTGGTTTAGTAAATGATTAATTTATTACGATTGTGTTAGAGTAGGCTACATTATACTATAGATATGTCGATTGACAAGAATTCCATAACAAGCTACAACCTTGAATTAATCAATACATAATTTTGATACATGTGATTGCTTACAATTGAGTTTATAACAGCTGACATTTACTGCCTAGGGACTAAAAGGGCTTTTTACTCTCTATGGAGTAAAAAGAACTACTTTTGACCCGCGGTATTGATTAAAAATGGCAGTTTTTGTTGCAGTGTGACTAAAAGATGATTTTTATAATTTAATTCAGAGTGATATAGAAAAGTTTTTTTGGTAGGGCCTTTGTTCAGATTCCTGTATGCAATAGTTATTTGTGTAACTAGTGGGCGAAGTGGCATTTTGCTGCACACGAGAGAAATGTTTATGCACAAGCTGTAGGCAAGTGTGGAAAGTTTTTCGAGTGCAGTAAAGGCAGTTTGCACTCGTGTTGGACATTATATTTTTCCTACTGTTACTACAAATCATATAAATAATTAGTCTTTCAAACACTGTACAACACGCTTTTAGGTTAGGTTAAATCCAAACATTGAACGAAGTGGGAAACGTTGCACCAGCTGATCGTAGTTGTAATATCTTTAAGTGTTGCCAACTTATTTTCAAGCGTACATGAATTACGTGCATAATATAAGCACACTGTTTTGTATTGTTTGGTTGGAATACTGGTGTGCGCCAAAGTTTGGCTTTCTGTACTATAATCTGTGCAAGGAAGCCCACTTTGTCGGGTGACTGTAGGGAAAAAGATTTAGTTGGTATATTTCCATGTAATGAGAGGTTCTTGACATCAGAAAAAATTAAATTTGGTCAAGAGGATATCTCATTAGATTAATCTTATTCCCAAGTTTGCTTTTAAAAAATATTGTAAATGTAAAAAGTAAATGCCAGTTTCAGTCATGTGTTACAAACTAAGTTACCTTTACGTACAACTTTTAATGGAGGGGTTTCTTCATATCCTTTGTCCAATTCACTCTAACAATAGTAATATTTTTGTATTGTTGTGTGACAAATGCTTTGGTGAATGGTATATTGGTACATCACTTTAAGTTATATACCATAGTCGTAGGTACATAATGTTAAAGTTAAAATAAAACCTTGAAAGAATATTGTACTTATATATTTATTTAATTTTATCAGTATTATTAATCTAAGGCTATGTATGGATTGAAAAATAAAATAAAATAAAACACGAATTCATACAATAGTTATTCTTTCAATCCTTGAACTCAAATACTTGATCCTCTGACTCCCAATATTGAACGTGAGTAATGCAAGATAGTCAAGTAAAATTTGTTCTTTATGATCCAATTTCCCTAATTATTTAATTTATTATATATTTTATTGATTAATTCAACACAGCATATTGCTTTCAACAAAAATGCTTTATAACCATGCTAAGAAGTGTATATAACAAGGGAAATAAACTAATTATCCAGGTTTATCGTCAAAGGATTTTCTTTTCATAAAAATATTTATTTTGAAATAACAAACTGAAATTATCAATTTACATTTGAAGGAAATAACCACCATCTGAAGCTCAATAGTTATGAAATGTGTGAAGTCAACCTGCATAAAATTACTAATAACAAAAAGTAAAATTTCCCAAATTCTTCTTGGGCTAAAAATAAAAGGAACAAAACAAATTGATAACATGAGAAAACATATGACTTAACCATATTAAGTAAAAAAGATTACCTCAACATTAAAGTATAACAAAAGTAAGGAAAGGAAATACACAATTCCTTTTCACCAACACTGTTCTCTTTTTCCACGATCATCTAAGCGATCATCATATTCAGTTCTAAGCAGTCTCATCTGTAGTATCACAGGAGTTAACAACCTTTTCCTCTTTGGCTAAATCGTTTTCTTTGGTGCTGGAATCATCATTTTCACCTCCCTTGTCCTCAGCTTCACCATGATCCTCGCCCATATCCTCTTCCTTGTTTTCTTCTACATTCTCTTCTTGCTTTTCCGCTTCTACCTGGCTTTCCTTCTCTGTTTCACCTTCGTCGGGTTTTGTCAGTTCAGCAATATTGTAATGACGCAGAGTCTTGTAGTCTTCCAGCACAGACATCAAGCACATTCCCTTGAATATCTCCACCAGAACCGTGCGGTTAGGTTCTTTCAAGTTGGCCTTGTGTTCCCTGTTCTTATCAGTCACCAGTAGTGCTAGTGCCTGGATTACTTCGTCTCTTAACAGCGAGTCGTTATAGCGCTTGCTGTAATTACCATCAAAGGTTACATAGATTGAGAAAGAAATGGCTATATTATTGCATCCTTAATCAGTAAATTTTACCTAACAAAAATCTTGTGTTTTATTCTTAGGGCTGACTTTGAAGCAAAGGTTTTGGAGGAAAAACACTTGGATTGTGAATAAATAAATCAAAGAAGAAGGAATTAAAGTAATTCACCCAAGAAAAGAATTTCAGTAAGTTGATGGCAAACAAAAATCTTTTTGAAAATTAAACACAATAATTTGCACCTTCTGTAGAAAAAAGTAGGCCTAAGGAGGAATGAACAACATTACCCCAATTTCCTGGAACTGGAACTTCATTCTTAGGATGTTGTTCATCCTTCTTTTTAAATTTTGGTGACTAAACCAAAGTTTTTTACAAGACGTCAAGATCTGAGCTTAATTTTTAACAATGCAATTCAACATAAATTATCCTTGGGTACTTCAAACTATGACATCTGTTGTTAGTTGTCTAAAAATTAAAAACAGAGGAATAAAAAAAAACCTATTTCGCCAAATTATTGTTAATAAATTGTTTTATCATACCTAGCTAAATTCAGTCTATAATTCCCCAAAAGAAAAATAATATCATAGTCTTCCATAATCGGGACAAAATCCTGGACATCCCTTACGTCGCAAAAACGTCATAGTCTTCCACTGCCGAAGCAAATTTTTCAATCACGCAAACTTTGCAGACACGTTTTATGACCCCGATTGTAAAAGCTTGGCTCAAGCTCGATGTCTCAAGCATATAGGCCAGGCTCGGCGCGACTCAAAAATCGAGCCGCTCGCACACCTTACTTCCTTGATTGTAAGTTAAAATAAAAATTCGAATGGTGTCGAAAATCCCAAATTTTCACTGGTCCCTTCAAATTCAAGATTTTTCCCCCAGTTTTCTGGCTGGTGTACACCCTGAATGACAATGAGACCATTAGACATGAGTTCTTGTGGAAAACAAAAACCATTTTTTGTTTCAGTTGATTAGATGGTAAAATACCCCCGCCGCAGCAAACCTGCAGACTAAGCGAATTTCCATTTGCCTGATTGGATTTACACTAAAATGTCTCCTTAAAAATATCACATTTATTCCCTATTTAAATAGAATCAGTTTAACACATACTTAGGTTTGCTGCAACAGGCAGGGTAAAAGTGTTTTTTATGTAAAATATTAATATTTAGTAAGAAATAAAAGCATTTTCCAAATTTGGGCAAAAAATGTTAATAAACAAGCAAACTACAACAGTTTACTTATTCTCCATAAGAATAACATGGGAATTTTAAATTTACAATTTTTTGAAATTTTCTCCGTAACCATTAGGTGCATTATAACGCTTCAATATACTAAATTATTTGTTTTTTTAAGCTCTACAAAATAGTTCGGAAAGAAATTGCAAAATTTTATGTTTTTTGAGTCAAAAGTGGGAAAAACCCATTTTTACCCCATAAAACCCCCCATAAACCCCCGTTCCCATGGTCCGATCATGCTGGTTCGCGAACTCGTTAGAATAAACGTAGGTTTACACGGTTGTACCAAATTTCATCAAAATCAGATCTTTTTGCTCGAGTTATCGCGCTAACGGACACATATATAAATATATATATGAATTTGAACGGATGGTGTTTTTGGCCTCTAGGGACCTCAAAACGAAAAAAAAAAAATCGGTCCCGAGTCCAGGTCTTACCATGAGTACTACGGTAATAGCTTATTCCCTATATGGGAAATTCGCTAATAAAGTACCTAATACAACAATATTACAGTTAACAAATATACACTTACTTTACAACTATTGCAAATGTTGTTGGGTCACATTTGAAATGTTTATCAAATAGAGAATCTGCTGCTGTCTTCATATCTTCCATATTTGCCTGAAAATACCATCATAGTTAATTTGCTTTGTGTGTTTAAGTCAATCATGTAAATTAAATACTCTTTCTTAACAAAAGTGTGCATGCTCTAAAGATTGATAATGGACGAAAGTCAAAATTTAAAAACTGATGATTGGTACCTTTTGTTGGTTGTTTGTATTGTCTTGCTAAAGACCAACTTCAGATGAAGTTAATTCTTATTCAAAACATGAAATTATTTATAGTAAATTACATCATTGGCTAGGCCTCTATGAAAATCCAGCAGGCATCATTGATCTTAGTACACTATCAATCATTCAGTAGCCTACTATGTTAAATGATCAACACTTAAAAACTTCACACATTTTGTTAGGGCTATTGCTATTAACTTACTCGACACACAACCTCCACTGGCACCAATCTCAGAAGAAACCTTCCCTTCTGTGTTTTGGTTGCTGCAGCCTCACTAAGAATTGTATGAGCAAGCTTCACTGGATCTTCAAGCTGTAATAACACAAAGCTACCAAGTTAACACTTGTAAAACACAACTACAGGCAATTACCTAAACATTAGGAGACTTTTCCCATTAGTTTCTATACTGCAAAGACATTTGTACTATATTTCAAAAACTATCCAAATATTACTGATGTTGGTGTCTCATTATTTTTAAGTCTTAACAGTTGGGATAAACTCTTAGAATATTTAGAATACTTTGTATTATCTTGTATTTCATCTTAAAATTCACTGACATTACCTAACTTATGTTTGTTGATTTAATTTTCATTAGGCCTAAATTATATTTTAAAGGCCATGCTATAATTACGAGCGCTAAAATTATGAGTGTCACACATTTTAAGTGGCTAAATAAGATGTGTGAAATCAATGTTACAATGTGCGAAATGTGTGTTGCAATGTGTGTGTATCAATGTGCATTTTGAACATTTTGTTGTAAAACAAACCATACACCAATGAATAAATTAAGGTTTCATTTTAATACAAGTTATCCAATAGGCTAGTAATTTTAATTTTAATTTCAAAATAGAATATACACTTAATAATACACCCATCCTCAAACTGTGAAAAATATTTGGTTGGCCAAAGAAAACCAGTTCACTTCTTGGTTGTTTAAAAACACTCTGACCACTGACTGAACAAGACATTCAGTTCCAGCACCTAAGTTATGTTATTAGACAAATTCTGCTCCCAGGCAAGGTATATTTACTTGCATCACCTCAGCCGAATGTTACAACCCTTACTTTTATAAGGAATCTGTTAACTTTAATGATTGACTAACTTGAACCCCTTTCCTTTATTAAAAGGCCGTCAAAATAATATGGACCCGATGGTTCTCGGAGAGACCGTACTTCAAAGAAAAAGAATTTCTCATACACCAACCATTCTTATAAACTCCACCACAAACATTTTAGGTGTAAGCCTAATTTTCTCAAAGAATGTTTACCTATAGTAAAGTTTAATCTATATTGTCTATTAACAAGAAAGTTCAAACGGCCCACCGTAGTTTTGATGAAGATGATGGCTTGCACACCAGTGTCGACCACTGTGAATCTCCCAGGTGTCCATTGACTTGCTCTCAAGTTGGATATCTCTTTCTTAAGATCATCTTCAATATCTCCACCACTTGCAACATCGCCACCTGCTCCACCCTCTGTATCCTCGTTGGTTGATGATGGCCGCTGAATCTTGAACAGCAAACAATGAATAGTTTAAGCTGAGTTTTGGATAACAGTAAGTAAGTTTTTTTAGCCCCTCCAAGAAACACTTTAAAATAGTAAAACCCATGTACAACAGTAGGGTATGTAGGCCTAAATTGTGGAAAATTACACATTCATGTATAAAGTAAGCAGCCATGAGACATGCAGACTTGCAAAAAATAAGACTTCAGAAACCGTTGCCAGATCAGCCAACATTTTACTTAGCCTAAAAGAAATCAAAAACTATTTTGGGCCCTAACTTAGGTTACTTTAGAGCTCGAATGGTTTTTGTTTATTCTTGTCTCTTTAATTTTTAAATTTTTTTATTCAGAAGCATTTTTATACTTCTGAGTCAATTTTACAGACATTGTAGGAGTAAATACCCCCGCCACAGCAAACCTGCAGACTTAGCGAATTTCCATTTGCCTGATTGCATTTAGCCTACACTTAAATGTCTCCTTAAAAATATCACATTTATTCCCTATTTAAATAGAATTAGTTTAACAAGTAGGCATACTTAGGTTTGCTGCAACAGGGAGGGTAAAAAAGTAGTTACTGACTGTACTGTAGTTTAGTAAGAAAGGAATAAATCTTCAAAATATGTTTGTAAAAAAAGCAAAGTACAACAGTTGAATTATTCTCCATAAGAATAACATTGGATTTTAAATTAACAATTTTAAGGAATTTTCTCCGTAACCATTAGGCGCACAATAACGCTTTAATATACTAAATTATTTGTTTTTTTAAGTTCTACAAAATGGTTAGGAAAGAAATTGTGAAATTTTGTGTGTAATTTTTTTGTTCAGCAAAAACTATGGCCTCGGTTCGTGAATGAAAAATTAAAATTGAACACTATGTATCATTTAAGTAGGTACCTAGGCCTATTTAAGTTAACTACCACTAACTTACATAAAGCCGCTTTTACACTCCAGAGTTTGAAACACAAGTTTTGAAACACATTTTTAGACTAAACATTTCGTTGTTGCAAATAGTTTTTCAGTGTTTGCAACAGAAATTTTTGTTTTTACCTGAAGTTGGTAAAGATGAAAGGGAGTTGCAAGCCTTTGTTTGCGACAATGGTTTCGGTCACTTTGTGCCGTTGAAACACAAAACAGAAACATTTCCCCGCCATAGGCTACCCTACGCTGCCACCTCCACTCTCACTCACAAGATCACTTGCACCACCCTGTGTATCGACTCTAGTGTCATTTACCCTGTCTGGACTGCTACTTGTTATTGCGTGCTTGTTATGAGTGATCACTGGTATGTGGCAATGGAAAATTTACTGAGTGAGATGAACATTCTAAAGTTAATTAGCTTGTACAGAGAGAAGCAAGTCCTTTGGAACCAAACTAAGTTTATTTCCGATTACAAAAATAAAAACTACGCATGGAATGGTTTCATTCAAAATGACATGCTAGACACTGACGACACTGGACATTCTCAGAAGGACTGATCCCAGGAACAAGAACATAGGCCAGTCATAATCAGTTTTTTTTAGTGTTTAAACATTCTCATGAAACATGGAAATAAAAACCATGAAATAAATATTGCAAAATTTTATTTGAACCTATTACTGTTTACTAAATAATGGTGTAAATACCTGCATTCATGTGATCAATTTGTTGCTAAATTGCAACCGGTTTCGACTCACAAAGGAGTCTAGACATAACCCCCGCCCGATCACGTCGTGTCCCGTTACCGTATTGTATCATCTTTCGTTTTTAGCCCTAAATGTTTGTTTTTATGTTCGTGTACGTGTGCGTGTTAAATGTATTTATTTATCATGAATTGACGACCTTCAAATGAAGCGAGAAGACATCTGTACTGGCCCAACGATGACTCCTTTGTGAGTCGAAACCGGTTGCAATTTAGCAACAAATTGATCACATGAATGCAGGTATTTACACCATTATTTAGTATTTAACTGTGATCAGGAGGCTAAAATTCAATATTATTACTGTTTGCAATAAAAGTTTGCAACTTTTTGTTTGAAACTTCGGTGTAAACCCGGCTTAAGTTATAGGCTACTACGTTCATAAAACTAGAAAGAGAACTAGGCCTATGTTGAATGTTGATTAGCCTAGCAGGCGTAGGCTTGGATCTAGGCCTATACCAAACTAGTAAACACGTTGCTCGAAATCAAGCAATTGCAAAGAAGTAAAGTAGTTATTTAAAAACAAATATAAGTCATCATAATTTTCGATGAGTTTAAAAGACTTGGAATTGAAAAATAAATAACAGCAATTAAATTATACAGCTGATCAAAATGTAAACAATTATGTTCTCTATAAGGATAACATGGGAACTTTGACAGCCACTGGGGCAGAGACCAAGGGACTTTTTCAAAAATGTAAGGCTAGTTTGCAAATCTACGCGACACGCTCTTTCCAATGAGACGTCAATGGATAAAATAAGTTAAGAAATGGCGGAGGAGTACAACCGACAAAGTTTCATGTAGCATATTAATTATAGCCTATAGATTGGACAGAAACATTTTGAGTTGTCGATTGTTTATCCACCTAGATTATTTTGAAAAAAATAACTGCCCAAATCAACAACCTACTTTAAGAGACCGAGTTCTAGGTCAACTTACATCATCGGCACCAAAGATCTTGTCAGCATACTCGTTGAGAATGTTTATAGATTCCTTCACACACTCTTTTTCACGAAATTTTGCATTGCATGTGCACATGAATCCTTTTATACCTGGCTGTAAATAGTTTTTGAATTTTCTTTTGTTGTTCCAGTTGTTTGATCCGCCACCAGTACCACCACCACCCGGCTTATGATAATAGTTCTTTCTTTTGTAATTTTGTTTTTTCTCCATTTTAGTCGATGAAAATGGAGGTTCAATTTCTATTATATGGTGACTACTTAATCTAGTCTACTTGTTGGTAATGATAATTAATAAATTAATAATAAAAACGGATGCTAGGCTAGAGACAGCTAATCAGACCAAGACCAACCAACCAGCACCGAAACGAAACGACCAAACTTGATAAGGTTATGTGTTATGTTATGTCCAGTTAGGATAGTGCTGGGTTTTGGGTTCACAACAGACCAACCGTATGATTCGGTTGTGTGTCGAAGAATATCGAACATGTTGTAAGTCGTATCTGTAATCGCATTGCATCGCATCGCACTCGCACAGGCTAACATTAGGATTGGATTGGAGTGCTGTCGTCGTGTCGTCTGCCGCTCAATTGCAAATGTGAAATAATTGATTGAGGTTACTCAGGTTATGTTTTTATCTATGTTGAGGAATTTCAATAAACTTAGTTTATTTAGTTATTCCCAATTTTAAGTGAGTTTGAAAACGCTTTGCCCTATTAGAGTCAAACTATTAATAGCTTAACTGAATCAGCAAAATAAAAATATCAAATCAATTGCGCAAACTATGATGTCTTTTAGAAAACCAATTTAGGCCTTTTACTTATGGTTTCTGAAGTTCAAATATAAAAAACCAAATATTATTACTCCAGAATTATTATTCTAGGTTCCAATTATTGTTTGGGGAGGAGGGGGATTTATTTACATACAATTCCCCCATTGATAATTATATTAGGATGTAGCCTATTTAAGTTAATACAAATAAAATTAAAAGTATGCTGGTCATTTAAAAGAATGAAACTGACACAATAAGTTAAGATAGGTAAGTCATATAGTATGTTGGAAACAGAGCATATTTTAAGGGATTTCCACTGGGCAACAGAGGCGCCGGACTTACCGGGTGTTTATGTGATACCTGGGGTCGGAGGGTTCCCCCGGAAATTTTTGCTTAGCTTAAATTAAAGTGAAAAGAACACATATTTCTACGCATCTTCTAATGAATTTTTCGATTATACTTATTCGCTTGTAAATAGTCCATATAATCTCACTTAATTATGTACCGGAATCCTAGAATGTCATAACAGGCCAAGGCTCCCTTCACAACCTCTTGGGCCAAAATCATAGCTCAATAGCCTACTCTAAAATATTTACATATTTTTTTTTTTATTCGTATACATTTCAAATGTGAATTATTAAAAAAAATATGCTGGCACCACCCATAGTCACTGGCCGACAAAATCTCAGCACTGTGTCACCCATTTAACATGTTATTTTATATGCCCTGTGTTGGAATGTAAAATAAAATAAGGCCCTAAATAAAAGCTTGCTTCAGCCTGAAACTTAAGTGTGTTGGTTAGGTAAAATTTTAAAATTTAACAAATTTTACCTTCAAATTAACTCATAGAACACATCTTTTTAACAGGCCCTCTGGTGAGTGGTGAAAAAACAGTAACACTTTACTCTTTGCATGCATCTTTACTAATCAAATTCATTCAATACTTACCTACTAGAAATAATTATTTTAATAAGTCTGGTTAAGTTAGTTATTTTTTTCTGTATACAAATGTTACAGCTTTATTTGTTTTAATCTACTTATGGATTGTAGGCTACTGTAACTTAAAATTGACTAAAATACAGCCACAATTTTAACTAGAAATGTTGGCATTCATTCTTATAATCCCACCAAGATGCCTTAACCTATTAAGGATAACTTAGACTATCTGGGTGAGGTTTTAATTACCTTAATTACCACTGTGTTGCCGATGACAGATGATTTGGATAGGGGTCCTCCAAACAATTGACCTTTAATGAACGACAAGATATCTTATTGTAATTATGTTTATCTTAATTATGTGAGTGTGAGTCAATTAAGCAAATTTGGTTAGATATTGTATTGAATTTGGATGCAAAGAAACGTAGCCTACAATAAAGGAAATGGGATCCACTTTTACAAGTAAGTTTTAAATAATTACTTACTGTATCAAGAAATGTTGTCGCTAACTTAAGCCGGGTCTTTCCTAGGCGCGGAAGTGGAGAGCGGAGAGAGGAACGCGGAGAGCGGACTCCACTTGTCTTAGGTAATTTAATGTTACTGTTTTCCTAGAAACAGAGCGGAACACCATGTTAATCTCTTTTCCGCTCTCCGCGTTCCTCTCTCCGCTCTCCGCTTCCGCGCCTAGGAAAACCCAGCTTTATGCCTAGACTGGTTAGGGCTTCAGATAACTTCTTACTGTTTAAAATCAGAAGTGCATTTTAATTTGAACTATTAATTAACTGAATAAAATAAATTCTTGTATTTTTATTTTGGTAATCATACCTACTAGCATGCTACTACAGTACTGTAAGCGCACAACTTGTTTGCGAGCCGGGTGCGCGGGGGGAGAGCGGTACCAATCTCCCACCACGCAGCCAAAGTTTCTGTAGCATTGGTCGGACTACGCTTTCTAAAAACATTCGACTAGCGCTGTTCGCGTTGTTTTCCTTTTTTGCGTACATTTTTTTAAAATTTAAATTTGAATTTGACAAATACTAAGGGTTCTATATTATTGTTTTGTTACTGTAGTAGAGTATTTTATTTTGATATAACTATTTTTTTACTTATTTAAATGTACACCAAACGGTAAAATCATATTAGGCCTATATTCCAATTTAATCGTAAAGTTTGACTTTTTAGGTGTAAATTTTTAACGTTTATAGGTGGTATCTTCAGATATAGATATAGATGTATGTAAAAACACATACAGATATATCTATAAACAGAAAACCACAAGGCTTAGTACATAAAATTATGGAAACTTTTGCTTATTTTCATATTATGTACAATAAATAACACCTTAAAATATCGGACAGGTTTTCCGAACACCCTTTAAAACGGTTAATGACTTGCAGTTATTTATTTTATATCCCTAAGTTGATAAAACGAAAGTCGGTCTCTTAATGTCGTACGTAAAGTATTTTATGACATTTTATGATTTTATTATCCTATTTTATGACCAGAAGAGTATTGTATTCTATCGTGTTCTATCAACTGTCAGTTTATTGGACTGTGCTGTTTAGATGAGTAGTGCGGTTGAGTAATTATTGAGTGATTGTTAAGCCGTGGGTTAAAAAAGTGTCAGGCTAGGCTAACATAGATTAATATTATGGCAACCACCCGTAAAAAGGGCAAACCATTCACAGAGAAGCGATGGAAATATTATAAGATCAACAGGTGCCATGTGTTGGTGTTACGCATCCGCTGGGAGTAGAAGCAGTATAGACAACATTTTTAGGGCGACTAGTAGCAGATTGGCCAAGAGCCGGGCAGTGGTGGGGGCCCCTCCTGGCTAAGGAGGCGGTGGAGGGGCCACGCGCAAACAAGTCGTGCGCTTAGAGTAGCCTATACTCGCACCTATACTGACAAGTAGTAGCGTCAGCTCTATTTATCAATCATAGGCCCTTCATAGCTATTATGCTATTATTTACATTTCCAGGTATAGGTGTTGAACTACAATGTATGTGGATTTATGGAAACTAGGCCTAAAGGTTACTGTGAATTAAGTTTAACTATTTTTTAACAATTTCAGATTTCTATTAACTCGCCCAAAGCTGTTGAAATCCTGGGAAAAGGCTGTCAAAAGAAAAAAATCTGAAAGAAACTGTTTAGTATTGATTCTTTGCAGTAAACATTTATCTGATGATGAAGTTTAAGTTAGATAAGACTTGGAGCACTTGTCAAGCTCCTTAAAGATGACGCTGAACTCACCGATTATGTAGGTACAGCAGTTCAGAAAAAAAAAAACACCGCCGTGGACAACTTTTCTATGGATAGCCTGATATTGTTGAGGTAAGATAAGTTATGCTTTTACATCTTAATTATATATTAAGTTAAGATTTTATCATAATAACATAATGATCATAATAAACCTAACCTAACTCTGCAAAGCGCTGTACAGTGACATTTCAGGGGGTTACAGAAAAACTAAGGCCTAGGTTGTTTGACAGTGACTGACTGACCATTTGAAATGTAATCGTTTGCCAGTGGTCGTGCCCCCGTCTGGTATTACTCCACCAGAGAAGCAGTCCATCTTTAAAATACCGGTACAGTACCTTAAAATGAAAGTCTTCTGTGCCTTAGAAAAATGTTAAGGTTGTTTTCATGTATTATAAGATCGTAGGAATAGGCCTACTTAGTTTTAGGAAAAAATAAGCTGGCATAGCAAAATTTCACAGTCACAGAAATCGGTGTTTATCAGCTAACTTATAACTTATGATAATATTTTGGCCTTAAAACTCAAGCAGACATATAACCCTATCAGAACTACAATACTGTACTACCTACTATAATATTCAGAAATAATTAGGCTGTTGTCCTATTAAAGAATACAATTTAGCCTACAGTGTCAACATTTTCAGGTGCTAAGTGTCTTTATCGTTATTCATGCAATGTTTTAAAGTCCTCAGATTACCCTAAATTTTTCCTTCCGGATCGATATCTGCCATATGAATCTGGTGACAACCTTACTTAACATAGGCCTAACTGCCACAGTGAGAGTAATAGTGACACTAACTTATTACTCTCACTGTGGCAGTTAATAGTGGCTGTAATTTTAATGAAATCCCTGTAAAAAAAAAAAAAAACAATAAATTGTATTAGCTAATTTTGGTTGCACTTCCATATAAGGCCTGTGGCACAGCTACATGGAAGTATTTAGTGTAAAGTAATTTTGTTATCTAACGGGGTAATTCTGAGCAATTACTTGGTCAACCCCAATTTTTTTCATATTTTACTACGGTCATCAGGAGGTTCTCAGAAAGCAAGAAACATATAATTCAAGGCCCGCAAGGCCATCGTACAGGTTGCCGAGCGATAAGAAGGTTCAAAGTCCAAGCGATAACAGTGGCTTGCGGGAGACGCGCGGAAGGCCAGTTGTGACAGTACCGTTATGGCTATGGCTAGTGGTTCCTCCGACAATCCTTTTCTATGTGACGGGTGTGAAAACACGTTACTTACTTATGTTTTTTTTTAGTCTCAAATACATCTCTAAGGCCAATTGTAACAGTACCGTTACGTTAGGTTAGGTTAATTAATAACCTAACTTAACCTAACCTAACCTAACCTAACTTAACCTTGCGGGGCTTGAATTATATGTTTCTTGCTTTCTGAGAACCTCCTGATGACCGTAGTAAAATATGAAAAAAATTGGGGTTGACCAAGTA